AAGCTGTTAAACGGCCAGTATACCACAAGAAATCTGACATCAATTATTGGGGACTTTTTTAGCTAGAATCGACCGACAGTTTTTTTCTGTTGATGGTCTTGTGAGGTGTAAGCGCTGTCCGTTTCAAGAATAAGCGTCATTTCATTTCAGAAATAATTGATCGTTTCTGTTCACCATTGTAAGGTGCTCATTAGTGTTAGATCTTCCATTTCAGTCAGCTCGTCTTCCTAACAATAACTATCTCTTAGAAATCACGAGAAATGTCAAATCAATCGGATGTTTTTGACGCCTTAGTGGTTCTCGATTTTCTGGTATTCGGAAGCGTAGAATAGTGAAACGAAAACAAAGAGATTCATCGCTTCGCTTCACCTGCTTAAAGCTGAACCAGAAAGCAATAATTTCGTGTATTTTTTGCGTTTCCTCCTTGACGTGGATAGTTCACTGAAGTTCACATTATGCGTCAACGATAAGACGAGTTTTGCCCGAAACAATTAACTATTCACAGAGATACTCAATATTAAACGATGACAACAACAATTCTCTTATGCATATGATGCTGTGTGCGTGTTTCAAATCGACTCTTTAAAAATTAAACATTCTATGCAAGTCAAACAGTGATCAAACATTATGTGCATGTTCCGAATGCAAGAGCTAATCACAGGCTGCTGACACCTTGTTATGTGGATTCATTACGCTAGTCTCTGGCACAAACAATTAGGCCTGAAGAACTATTGTTCCCGAACGTCGAAATTGATGTTGCTAAATTTCATCAATCTCCTGGTGACGAACAACTGACTCGAAAGTGCACACATTCAACAATATGGAAGAATCGATTAGGGCATTGGAGGACGATCTTCCTTAACTAGTGCTATAATAAGGATGAATTTTGAGAAGGAATTCATTTTTTTCGGTGCTGCTCTTTAACGACAAAACAAATGCCCAATGAATGCCTTCCAGTATGATGAACAAAACTCATTCACCATCTATGAAGCACAGTGTAAACAAAAAACTCATCATGATCTCTATCAATTCTGTTTGCAGCCTCCAGCCAAATTCATTTCGTAATGCAATTAATCTTCAGTACCCGTTGATCACAAATGATTTTCTGATACTTCCGAAATGGCTTACATCGTGAATGCATTTATTCGTACTTAAGATGTGATTCTTAAGATACTGTCACTCAGCTGTTAGAAGGGTCTCTATTGGTTACAAGCAAGCATGAGTGTACAAACAAAAGAAAAAGCATCTTCTCTCAGCAAACATAAAATGATTGATATGAACGAATGTGTGCTTGATCAGAATTCATCTCACATCACTTTTTATTGGTTGTCAGTTTTCAGATGCTGTTGATCAGTTTTTGCCGTCATCATATTCGCAGTATGTTCTCCTGGAAACTGTGCGACGAAAATTTTTTGATAATACGATTTACATTATTCAATAAAACGAAAGTTGACTGCATTCTATGCCTTCTTTACTGGACTAAGTCATAAATTTCGGAACCTGTAAAAAAACAAGTTTCTTTTGAAAACTTTAATGAATTGATTTCGATTCCATTGTTGTTGCTCATTTGACTGCGTGAATACGTTTATTCTTACTCAAGGCATAATTTATTCTGCGCTAAAAAACATTGGATTTATTGAAAAAATATGATTTCACATAATGTTTACTTAGTTTCTAGGCAACAATTGCATTAATTTGTAATGTTTCCTAATGACCAATTAATTTATGACATTACGATTTTGGAAATATTGCGCATAATTTATTGTGTTTGCCAGTGGAAGGATGCGGCGACAAAGCTAATGCATTCATGCAACATTCCCTGGAGACAGCTGCACCAGTTGGTTGGCCTACCGCAGCTACTTACTGCTGCTATGAATGATAGTTGTTTGTAAGAAGCACAACATCGTCCATCCGAAACGAAATTTCACATTCACTTTATCACTTTCACTTGAGATGCACATCTCCGTCATTTCACGTTAATCGGTTCAGACTCTTACGCATACGCAATACGTAACTTGCACGACGCATCTAGGGGGTAATGCTCGCTGACTTATGTAAACACTGAGAATCTGTCACTATCTGACGTGTTTTTCATTAAATATTGATAACTTTTCAACTCCATTATCGGCCGATTTTAAGAAAAAGGTGCATATATGACCATTATTGATCATTGTCATTAAATTGCAGCAATGGCTCATGCTTTTCAATTATGTACAATCAGCAAGTCAGATGAAATCACTTGAACGGTCCATAAGTTCGAAAATGTATTATTATCACATGAATGATTTGTTCCTTTCGAGCATGCATTATTGAGGCTTAACAGACTGTTGCTGAGTGATGACACCTTGTCAGAACGCATTCTCGATCACGTATGCAGCAGTAACACAATTTGAGTAAGAGAGCACAGCGTCACACTTGTAAGCACTTCATTCAAAATTCCATTCACAAGTTGTCCATTGCCGAATTTCGGAACATGCTCACCAAAAAACGGAAGGTTTTCATGGTTTCTTTAGCAGCAAATTCAATCCAACTCCTTATAAAGCGGAAGAAAGTGAGTTTTCAACTTTCCACCCAAAAAGTTCACGGGAATTGAATGATGAATCTGGTTCGCACATCCCACGGACTACTTATCGATTCAAAAACAGAAATCTTTCACTGAACCATGCTCATTTTTATGGTCACTCTTGAAAGTAATACGCACCAATCTCTTGAATCATTAGTACTCGTGATTGCAGTAAATTTTTCAGGCATTCACTAGACCGCAGTATTCTTATTGAATGGAACTTAGTGTAATCATATGATTTTTCGCTCAGTCGGCGATCACTTTTTTGTCAGATAAAACACACAAAAGTAGTCGCATTCACTCATTCACATTATCGAACGAAAGTATTTTCCGGAGGTTGCTTCACGTTCATGTCTATAATTTTACGGTCAGTTGCAGTCCGAGAATTATCTCGCGCTAAGTTTGGTTTAACTGAATTGAGCAATGAATCGAATAAGTTATGAGTAATGAGACAATGAGAACGGTTAATCTATGATGATGATGGAACACTCGATGCGTTTGTTCGATTCTCTTGCATTTAGAAGAAGCGTAACGACGAACTAGCAAGTTGAAATAGCAAAAAGCACAACTCTAATAATGAAATGCTTGAATGTTCAAATAAAAGTTTATATTTCCATATCTAGTCTTAGATTGCGATTTGTGCTGCATACGAACTGATCATGTATGCTGGTTCCTCTTCCTCGTCCGAAATTATTCATCTCCATCCACATTTCCAACTACCAGCATTCGTACATCTATCCATCCGCATTCCACATAATCATTTCTTCGGTCATCATTTCTTTACTGTCTAAACTTTGTCTATCCATTAATCTTTTCAACATGACATTCTTGACACGTCGATTAATCATTTTTTAGCACTTTACTCCCATTGTTTCCGATGATGAATCGTCGAACAACTTCATGAATCTCTCTGTCAAGTAATCGTCAAGTGAATCTCTCTCTCCCTCTGACAATTTTGAATGTGCATTATCAATGCTGCTGATGAAACAAAAAATGAGTCGTGAAATGAGTTGTTTTACGTCGGGTAATCTATGCAGTACACATTCAACATTTAATAATTTTGTTGATACATACGCTATCCGTGATTGTAGGGAAGAAGACCAAACCATAGCAACCAATTGGAAGATGCAAAGTTAACAATCGAATCAACGATCTCCACAGCTGATTTTGAAAATTCATGGTGAGGTCGAAATTAATTTCATCGTCGCATCAATGTGAATAAATTTCTCACAATTAGAGTGCGCATGCTTGGTCGACCGCAGTGTTTTTTTTCTTTGAACATCGAATTGATCACCTCGTGTGTTTGATCAGTTTATTGCTGGTGCACTACACTTCGGTTCGACTGCTTTATTTTGGATGGCATTTCGCAGTGTAAGATGCCAATCGTCGAATAAGACATTCTTATCGGATCAGCATTTCACACTCAGTTGACCTCTGAAATTGAGGATGACCTAGTCTCGCGCTTGATTTAGGGCCGCCTAATGGAGTGTTCAGTAGACCACCTTAACAACCGAAAAGAAATCTGTTATAGTTATATGCAGCCAGCTCTCCATGTATGTATTATTTTCATTCACAGAGAAATTTGCGACAGCATGCGTAGTGGTATTGAACTCATTTGCGAGAACATGCGTTTATAAGAGATTCAAGAAATGATTTATTTAGCTCTACGAATTCGTTTATAGTACTGCTCGTAGCAATTCAACTTCACATTCTCGATGACACTCATTTATACAAAATAAAGAAACAAACAGCATCAATGACCCAGCATCTCAAATGCAAACTGAAAACGTTCCCAATGACCACTCCTACCAATAAGTTCTGAAGAATATCCCATCGTCGCTAATTCTGGCTAGATCCATTCAATGCACGTTAGAACTATTAGCTACAATCATTCAATCAATCCCTCCATATATTGTAATCATTAACCATTAAATTTGATTGCTGTATTCGACCAATTTTGTAGATTTCGTTTCCAGTTGTTTTTATGCTATTATCACTTCATTAGTATTCTGAATCACACGCTTTTTTTCAGTGCCCAAGAAACTGAGTGACTGTGCATCCCGTTTAATGCTCACGTTTTTCAGTGTTGACGACCTAATGAACTAAGGAAAGTGTGACGTTCATATAAGCACAACGATGAGATACGACACGTAATCAACGGTAAAGGTATAAGCCATTTACAGCCATCTCTCACCTGAACGCTCTACCGAAAGCTTACTTTCAGCATCGGCATTTGTTGTAGTCTGCTTGAAATGATTGATTTTAGTCCTTTGAATAATTACTCTTAAGTGGATTAAATCAATTCATTACGTCATAACTCTTTTTGACTGTGGTATCAACATCAGTGAATCAAAAGAATATTCATTTATTGCTCAACGATTACGAAATAAAAAAATTGTTGACAAATGATCAGAAAATGAGAAGCTTTCTATAATAGATGAGTCATCCGGGTTGGGTGATGGTTTCGTTTCTAACCGAACTGCTCAGCTCTTATGGTGGACTCGGACAGTCGTCTTCTCGTTGTGCAAATGACACTGAAATAATTGATAATCTTCTAAAGGTTATCATTCAATTTAATGTTTTTCCACCTTACTTCACTTTTTCATTCGTGCTCACTTTGCATCAAAACGTTAACCAACGTCCAAAACATTCATCAGATTTTTCACCGAAACAAGCGTCTAATGACCAATTTTATGCCTACTCATAATTACGATCACAAATTCTTCGTTTTCCTTGATGGGACTTTCAAGCTTTCACCCAAGAAACGTTTCAGGATACGTATAATAAACATTACATACCTGCTCATCCTGTTCATGTTCGCGTTGATATGTGGGTACAAGAGGTTACAGCAGTTTCAGAACTTACGCAGGACTTTGAAATTGGTTTGTCGTTACTCATGTTGTATCTCACTGAATCGTACCTACGTTGTTCACTTTGTAAGAATTGTTTGGGTTCCATTGAAACTGAGCAGTAATACTCGAAAAGTTTCGGCAAAACTCTTGCTTTTTTACCGAAGTGTATCCTAATGGAATTGACGAATGATGCAAATTGATTTTGAGTGTAATCTATCATTTTGAAAAATCAATTCATTCACGATTCTGATCATTGTTTAGCAGCAGCAACCGTAATCATACCAAAATTAATGAATCAGGAGGTGCACAGGTGCACATCAAATCGTTATTAGTTAAGTATTGCGACATTCTTGTGTTAAGCCTTAGCCTTAGTCGTAGTCAGCAATCACTACAATAATCTGTCATTCTTACTTTCACCACAAAGCATTTGCGCTGTTGTTTTGCGAGCGATTGTTAATAATGGAATAGTTTGCTTGGAATGATGTATTTCAGATCTGTATATAAATGAATTTTGGGAGGATCCTGCTCTTGTTTTCGATTTTATGAACCCATGTAAAAGTAACATATCTTTTGACGACAAGGTGCTACAAAAACTTTGGATTCCCAACACATGTTTCATCAACTCGAAAACTGCTGCGATACATGAATCACCGTTCAGGTTGTGATATCCAACTCATTTCCAGAATGCACTTAAAATTCTTCTCACATTTAGTATTCTGCTATGAGGAAAGTACTCAAGTTGAACAAAAAATTTTATAAGTTGCGGTTTCGAATGCTTGAGATGATGACGTTGTAAAGAAATGAAAGGAACTGTGCCAGTTGGCAAGAAAGAACATGCGATTGAGGAAGAGTCTTCGAGACATTGTTTGCTTATTCAGGAACGTGTTTCTGATGGTTTTTTCAAATGGAACATTGTGGACAAATTATCGCATGAAGCTCACTGGTCCTTGTGATATGAATCTGAAGCGCTTTCCCTTCGATCAGCAGAAATGCTTTTTAACATTCGAATCGTATGTTCTTGCTCTTATGAATTCAATTTTAACGTTTCACTCAAAACCACCGTATATATTCCTCATTTAGACATTGTGGTTTGCTTGTATAATATTTCTAACAAGGGAAGGTCACGAACTTACCCCAACGTTTCGGGGTGAGATGCATATCATTTTGTAGGGNTAAGTGAAGATTGTATTCATAGTGGTTGGACGCAGATAATGATCATCGAGAACTATCTACATCTGTTTGCAATAAAACCTAACTGTGAAAAACTGTGCAAGAAATGACGTATTTAAGGAGCATCTAATCTGCTTGTCCCAATTGAATGCTCTGCCTCAGCGTAGGGGTCAGAGGATAATAATGAATTTCTCACAAACTTGAGTGGTTCAGATTTTAAAGGAGCATGATTTTTCAGATTCAATTACAACACTGGCGAAGTGCGAATGTCTTGGAATCAGCCTTATCCTGTGATGATGCTCAAAAATATAGAACTGCCCGACTTCAAATTGACCAATTTCAGTGTTATTGCAGTTGAACAGGTTTGCGGCTATCTCTACTCTTGAATAAACAATATATCTGACAGGCGGACTCAACATCGTGTACATTTTCGCTATAGGATTTGAATGGTCTTTTCTGCTTGTGGCTAAATTTATTTCAAATTCTGAACCTAATCGAACCACTTTTATGCCTAATGATTTAAATGCTACGGGAGTGCTGCAGCGTACAAAAGGGTATCTGCTTGAAACTGGAAGCTTAAAATTGTTTAACTAACTTCCGGATGGAGAAATCCAACCGCTATTCTTCATTTTTCTCCGGCATTTGATACCACTGGAATGACTAAATGTAAACTGTAGTAGAAGGAAAAGACAAAACGACTCAGTTCATATTTGACATGAGCTTGCATTCAAGTATATTTTATCCACCCAACAATGGTAGCGAAATAAAGCTGAAAGAAGAGAATACAATTCACTGCGCTTGTGTCATCTTATTGCTATCCTGTCTGTGCTATACCAGCAACAAGAAAACAGTTCATAGATTTGAAACCTTCTTTAATCATGCGCAAGAATATGAGCTGTAAGCATACAAGCATGCGAAGTACTGTATCAAATCTTAGCTTATTATACGATGAAAGTGCATAATTTAAATCACTCACGTACAATAATGCTGCTTTGTTTGTTCTTTTTGCTCCATAGGTCAATCACCATTCAGCTGTGCTTCAAGCTGAACTCGCGTCGAGAGATATCGGATTCGTCGTAATGGTTCTCTAATCTTCAATGTACAACGCAACCAGCGCGACAGTACAACGCAAAATATCTCTTAGATCTTGTGCAGAAGCATAACTGATATCATATTTAGGCATATGGAAATGAAAATTTGTGAATAGATATGGATATGCAAATAGTTTGCAGATGTATCCCGCAGGTTGGTGGGATGAGCTGACGGTGGCCTTCGTATTCAAGAGAAGATATGGATGGTACATTTTGCAAGGCTACATTCCAACTTATGTGACAATTTTCATTTCCTGGATTTCTTTCTACCTGGGATCGAGGTTTATGTTCGCATTCCTGTCATTCATTGTTGACTTCGAAAATCACTTGTATTTGTTCACTTGTTCTCAACAAATATAGCAGAGCTGATAGAAATCGGATACTTTCTAAATTACATGAGATGAGATTCAGCAAACAACTGCTATATGACAGACGTCATTTCTCTATGACAAATAATCGCGTTGTACTTCTGATTCAATGAAAACGAAACTCTCATTTCCTGTCAGTCGTTCTATGCATTCACAAGCTCTAATAGCCTTTTTCAAGACAGAAAGGAAAGCAAGTGTGAGGGTTGCGTTTTCCACAAAAATAAATCGTTTTACTCGAATCCTTTTCGTAGACAACCAATCACATGAAGGTAGCTATGATGATCAACATACTGCTTTAAATAGTCAACAAATACTATATTACCGAATCGTTACAGGGCTATTCCTGCGCGAACAATGCTCGGTGTAAATTCTCTACTAGCCATGACCTTTCAATTCGGCAACATCATCAGGAATCTTCCTCGTGTATCATATGTGAAAGCGATCGATGTATGGATGCTCAGGTGATCGAATCTACTTCTCTTCTCTTCAATTTCTGACGAGTTTGCATTACCAACGTTTATATGGATAAAACAGACGTGAATCTATTCTAACGATAGCTGCAATGGATGTGAGATACAATTTAGCGGAAATGTCTGAATGTACAACTATTCTGAAAACGACTTCAGCAACACCAATCATTTCAGTGGCATGATGTTCATATTTCTCTCCTTGCTTGAACTAGCCGTTATTGGATTTATGTCGAGGAATGAAGGAGCTCCTCGTCGCATAACACCAAGGAAGCGCAGTTTCGATATTGATGAATTTGCTTGGAAAGAAATGCCCAGCCCTAGGATTGGACTCCGTCAGGTTCACTCTTCTCTCACTTCATCTTCCACTTTTTTTTCTCAGCAACTCAGGCATGCTTTCGTTCGTACATCCGTTAAGATATGATGATGATGTTCGAGGAACTTCAGTATTAGCTTGTTTCTTTCCTTCTTGATCATCCGCTTCAGTGCCTCTTATAATAATATCTCATCTTCGGTTGAATGCTTCATTCTAAGAAATATTGCGATTATTATAAGTCAATGGTTTTCTTTATTATCATCACGTTCGGAAAACAATTTTCGGACAATTCTCTTATTTTTATCGGTGTTACGGCCAAACTTTTCTGCATCAGCATCTTTTGAATCAACCGAGGTCGCTTCTCACGTTTAACAACTTAACAACTTAAAAATTTTACTGTCAATTCCAGCATCGAAATTTGAACTCAAAATTCATTAAAGGTGTTATATCAGTGAGCTTGCCTTCATGAGATAGAATGCATTGAATCGTTCCCAACAGCAATATTCCATTCATGTCACTACACCAGCACGTATTTGTGCTTCTTGTACATTATTATTGTATTGTGCCGGGGTGCACTAAGAAATTCTACCAGAATGAGAATTGCAAGTCACATGCACAAAAGCTTTCCAAACAATAGCTTTCCAAAAATCACATACAGTACAAATTCGTACCGAGTTCACCAGGTACAGAATAGTGCAACGAAAATAAGCGGAAGAGAAAGTTTCCACTTAGGTGAGCTAAACATTATCCGCATTCTTTTCGTGGCGTACTTCACAGCAATGTATACGAGTGTATGCGCTTGAATGGTGAACTTTGAAAAGAGCCGGTTAGCAGCCGAACAGAAAAATAGTATCATTGTTGGTTGCTTATTCTCGATTCATGATGCTAGCGAGGAGGTCATGTTGAAACGGTAGTAGCAACAAAAACCGTAGGTTCAAATTCCAACCAGCCACATATACAAATATGTTCCATAAGCCCACCAACGAAGATGATAAGGAGATAAACACGGAGGCATTTTATAGCGAAAATATACGTTGTTACTCGTGTGCTATTTTCCCCGTAAAAACGTCAAACGTCATTGCATCGGCTATGCTGAAAGATGGTGCACTACATTTGTTCCTAGAAAATCGTCGGCTCAGTACAATGGTGTATTTGTCCTTTCTGGAAATTGAGTGATGTATAGATCTATAACCTCTTTTTTTTTTAGGAAAAAGTACAGTAGAAAATTGTAAGAAAGAAATACAGTACAAGAAGGCATTGATTTGTATCGTATACCCACTTATCGATTATTCATTGAAGGATGTGTTTTAGTTATGTTTTATCCGAAGCACGTAAGCATAGATTAGATTCAGCATGAATGTGCTTGTAGTTGGTCTTGGAGTGACCTGTTAAGCTGAACGCAGTATTTAACTAGTTGATAAGCTTAGAACACGTGTGAGTAAAATGGAACAGAATGGTTTGTTGATATGAAATAAATCATGTGTATAACTTGATCGTTAAATTTTTACTTTATTGCATGTTTCATTTCAGCGTATATTCTTGTGTGATTCATGTCTGTTTGCTTGCTCTCTGGAAGCAGATCAACCCTGAGAATTAAATGCAGATTTAGATACGTGAGTGATTCATGGAGAGTTCATCTCGATACACTGTAGTGCTACGGTCTGCTTAAAATGTGAACTATAAAAAGGTATTGTTGATGGCGCTAGGTCTCCCGGTCAGAGTAGAGATTTTCGAATGTAGTGGAACATGTTCAGAAAAGAAGGTATCGATTGCAAAATTTATATCTCACTCGACAGGTATCATAACAACTGATGTTGTGGGCATTAGATCATAATCAGTGTCAAAACGTTGTTAGTAGTGATGGTGTATATTCTCTCACGCATTCGTTTGTCCTAGCTATGAGATCATTGACTCATGTGCAAAGCATCCGTGAGGCAATAAACCTCGATTTAGTTATGGAGGATGAGTGCAGTGCTGCTAGAAAAATGAAGACCGTAATTATTTCAGTTCTGGGTTGATAAACGTTGCTCATCGCTGAGGAACCATAATGAGGTTGTTTTACTTTCATTCGATTCTTAAAATAATTTTTCAATTCTTCAATAATGAGAGTGGTCTTTATGATAATTTGCATGGAACTTTTCAATAGTGATATCTTTTACATGGCATGTGTTTTTTGACATTCCTAACTTTAGTGTGTTTCGTTATGCATGAACTGATCTGAATGCTCCAGTTCGTGTGATTGAAGGCATTAGAGATTATATAGTACGGCTTACTGAAATGTGTCTGGACATCGCATTCATCGTCTCGTCGTAATGGTTTCATTGAAGCAACCATCAAATGTTATCCAACATTGTCTGCTTGTCTTATACTTATTCCTGCAAAGTAATTCGTCATGTGAATGCATATTTCATTGAAAAGTCTATCTATAGCTGCCATCAAACACTGCCAACAGTTTGACAAAATCCTGCCATAAGTCTTGTTTCTGCGACGATACCTGTCTTGAAGGGATTGATGTGAATCTTAATTATAATCAGTTACGTTAGTATTGATGCTGCCTACTCAAATCACTTCAGAAGCAAAGGCCTAGAAAGTGCACATTATGAAGATTGTTAGTTGCCAATAGAAAGTAACCTCTATGGCAGACCTTCGAGCGAACTTGATTTACTTATCCATATTATGCATGTTCATTTCATCTTCTCAGTTATTCCTCGAACGATTTTTATCTTATCATTGCTAACATTACGATGATTGCGTGAATGTTACCTCAACTGCTTTCGATTAGCGATTCCCACAGCGAGTTTGCCGTGAGATATAGTCAAAAGCACTTAACATTTTGGCGATATATACGCTCACTGGATTTCACTTTTGCTGCTCATGGACTTCCCATACTGTCATGTTAACGGTGAAAAAACAAAAACTTTGAGATTGCAGGTGGATCAAGGAGCATCACCATCTGATGCGCATACTACCGGTGACCCTCTTGCATGCACCATTCCGACCGTTCGGAGGCGGCGAGTGCGAACGTACGTTGCTTCTTCGATTGCTCCACTATGAATAGCTTGATCGAGCATTAATTAACGATGGTTAACAAACTGAACCTCATTAATGGTTAATGAACTGTAACAGTTCGTTAGTCGCTAATAAGTCTCAGATTATCCATTGAAACGTTATAAGTAGAACGTTGCAGAGGAATATGGTTTCGCATAAGAAGGCACACAAGAAGTTTATTGGATATGGAACCTGAAACAGTTGATAAATACAGGTTCGCTTCCTTCAAATGTGCTTATAAATGTCCAAGAAAACTTCATCTTCTATGATCATTTACGGTAAAGCAAAGTTCAGTTCGGAATTTTTGAACAACCCTGCATCCTGAAATTTCGAAATCTGTTGTGAAGTCAGTCACCATTTCTACAATCACGAGAGAAACTATAGAATGTTTTATTTCCTTCAACTGATAAATCTAGCCGTTTATAACTGCATATTGTCGTCAGATAAAGCTGGATCATTTTTCAGTGCAATACTGTTCCCAGCTGCATACTTCATATTCAATGTTGGGTACGTATATTCTCTCATAGTAAAACCTTTCATTTTGCGTATTGCAATTCTTGCGAGAAGTGAAAAACTTTAGGGATAAAATTTGTTTTCATCTTCAGTAGTGGATTTTGTGGGTATCAAAAAGCATTCACAATATTAATGAAAAGGTTTTGGCCGGTAGCATTTACAAGAATATTATACCTGCTGCCCTCGTTCCACACATATTTGAAGCTGTGCAAAACCGTTGACAGGACCAGTCATCGTTTAGTTGTACGTTTCTAGCGTGGTCGTGTTGCCCACCTCCATATTTCAGGGCATATTGTAAAATTATAGCTTCTCACTCAAAGTAACACACTTATCGTCCGGTGAAAGTACAAGTTTTTCGTTTGAGAATAAGAGAATTCTTCCGCAATTATCACATTGATAGCACTGTTTAGGTACTGGAGCTACTACCTCACGAGCCTCTCATCTGTCGAGGAAGTTTCCCCATAATTGAACGCGGATCTCTCATTGTTTGTGTATGACATGTATTATGAATCAGTTGTGAATTAATAGTTTAGAATCACATTCAGTTCGTTTTTTTTTTGTAATGAAGATTGAGTAGTGCTCATTCATTTACTCGACGGTTTTGTTCGTTCATATAGAACGCTATCATTGGAATTACGATCTTTTTTCTGTGTAATGCAACCGTTTCTTGTCACATGATAAAATTTATGCAAATCTATTGAGCATTTTTTTCGGCCCATAAAACAGGATAAGTTATCAGAAATGCTAACGAACAAATCAGCAAAAAGGCATAGAATGGAACAACACAATATCCTCAACTTGAACTTGTAGCTTCATGCTATATCCAAAAATCGTTCGATTAGGATTGCTTGATGCATCACAATTTATATTCTTTGAATGACCACATTATCATAAATTTATGGTCAACACAAAACTGGTTGTGTCATGCATCAGTTGTCCTGAATAATGGAGAGTTGAATCTTGATCTTTAGGAGCAAGCCAACGTTGAGAAGAGAGGAACTTCAGCATCCCAAAAAGAAACATTTGAAAAAGAAGGAAGTAATTGGAAAAAGAAGAGTGGATGAGACAAATGAAATAAGGTTATCATCCAATCAATTCACTAATGCAGTTCGATGCTAGAGAATGAAATCTCTAAATTGGTCTCTCGATAGATTAGTGAATAATGTGATGGCAGTGTCATTGAAGTTGCCTAATAAAACAATACAGACTACACTGAGAAAGGAATATCTCAATTGAACCCTCCTTTTATGAGGCTTCAGGAATAATAGCAATAATAACAATATTTTACTATACGCACATTTTCGTTCGCCAGTTGAAACGCGGCAAAGCGCGAGGGTGCATATCCGTAAAGTATTTTTATTATATCAGCAAGCAACGTTGATTATACTCGATGTGAAGATGAGCACTTACGCCCTTGACAGTAAACTTGCTCGGTGAAACAATTATGGCACCTCTTGAACCACAGTAATGTTACTGAAACAATAATGAGGCAATCTAGGAACATCAATATGACTCAGTTACGTTAAGTGCTCCTGACACATCATAGGATTCAGTTCGAGTTCCCGTGAAAAACCCCTCAGAAACGCTTTTTGCTTTTTGTTTTTTTTCCATTGACATGATGGTTCTCGTTGAAAGATCATTCTTTGCTGAGTCTATTCGTTCATTCCTCAGGATTTATCATCTACATAGCCACAGCTAGATGCTTTTTCAGCTAGACGGAATCGAGTCATTACTCGGAATTATCATTAAGAGCAATGCACTACCATACAGAGCAATCGCAAACGTTCTGTCTTGAAGGCAGGCCAAAGATTGTACTAGGTTATGAGATTAATACTATAGGTCATGACTGCCGGGACGTTGTATCAAATTGTCGATGCAACTTAAATGTTTCTTCTGAACACAGTATGAAGTTCTCCAAGAATTCAACGATAGCAGCAATGCAATTGCAACAGTATTTGATCAATTTCAGTGGCAGGATAAACATCTCGAATGGATTGCGTCAGTTAAGATCCATTCGAGACTTATAGAATACGCACTGGGAAATGTTTTCGATCTAATCAATGAAGTAGGAAATGAATGCAACAAAAATCCTACGCCTAATGGGCACTGTGCGCAAAAAATATGAAAACAAGCGCGGTTTGCATGAAAGATGTGCAGTGCCCGTCATCTCTGCATTTATTAGTTTTATAATTAAATATTTGACATCATTCAACGCACAATTATCCCAATCGTTTTTCTGCATCTTATCTCATCCTCAACCATTTGCTTCTCATATGTCAATTTTTAAATATCTACAAATGAATTGTGACACGATAGCAAGCAGCGCTCTATTCGTTCACTGTATCACATTCTCATCCGATTGTTTCTTACGCTCATTAACTATGTTCTGTTTATGAGAGCATTTTGTGGCTTCAAATTCTTATGGGAAGTATTAAAAGTTAGTTGTTATTATTTCAGTGAAGCTAACGAAGTGGTTTTTGTAAGCATCTCTTGATGATTTTGGACTGAAAATTTGGAAGCAATTAAGCATCTCAATCTCCAGAGTATTCTTGTGAAGACCGGCTCCCAAATTGCATTCGAACTAAGAATAGCACATCGAAATCAATTTAAGATGCACAGATGAAGGAGGAGTTCACATCATCGTTTCATGTGTTCTTCGAGGATTAATCAGTATGTGCGCCTCGTAACTTGTGAGCCGCTTGTGGCTGTTGACAATAGATAATGATAGTGTTCATATCCGCTAACAGTATAGTGAATTTTCGAAGTTTTTGTGAAGCAGTTGAATAACTTCATTGGAATGTTTCTCATCTTTTTTGAGCACAAAACCAGTAACGCGTATTTTTCATGATAGGTCGTTGTCCAAGAAGAATGCAGCTTTTGAGTCGAATCGTTATTTTTGCGATGATTGAATGGTAGTATTTACCTGCGATCTCACATCTGAATTAAGCGTTAAAGGAAAGATGCGAAAGAAACGCAACAATGACAACAAAAAATTTGTTGTTGTTCATTTGGGCTTTCAAGTATCCATCAGCTATTCACACAGTTGCTGATTCCATGTTCGTCCGAGACGAATTCCGCAGCGAGCTTGGAGAATACGGATCTAAATTTTCCTCCGCCCATATATTTGGCAAGTTCTTTCAAAGAAAAAAGACAGCAGCGTAGCTATGGCAAGACAATATTTCTGTCATATTTCCACTTCAATCACTCTCTGAAGTATTTTCTATTATTAACATGATGTAATTAAAACGATACATTCAATGTGCTGCAAACCAGCAGACGAAATTTGCATCTCCGCATTTTGTACTCGAACGTAATGCAAATGATACGAGTTGAGTCTTGTTTATGAATCGCTGAGTGTCCTAGGCGAGTATCGCGCTCAATCGGGTGGATTTGCACGCAAGATATGTGGACAGTATTACTAGCAATGTGCATTGTTGCATGCTCGATTGTTCCTGGTTCATTTGCTGCTTTTCAGTTGCGTTATAATGCTAACAGGTTTGTTCATATTGTTTCTTTCTAAATATTCAGTTTCACCTGCACTTATCCCGCATAACTTCTTCCAACCGTGTAATTGTTTATCAATTTCACCATTCACGGACATGGATTCATTGCACTGCAAATATTTCATTGTGCTTATAACCGCTTCAATTTCTCATCGAATAAATTGTTCGCATTCTACTCAGAAACAATGCTAGGCAGTTTTCAAACTCTCACTTCTAAAGTATGTTCAACTCGATTAACTGAGGCTGTTGTTGCTTGAATGTGAATCTCTTCCATGAAATTGATACGGAATTGGATTCCCATTCGACTTATATAGAATATTCGCAAATTCGTTAGTGCATGAAGATTGTAGGGTTGAACTAAAAAGGCCTTTGCATCATTCAGCACTTTACTCCAACTTCGGATCCGACTCCCTAACGAATGGTATCTATCGAAGTCACGCAAGAGTAAGTCAATTTATGAATTTTTTTATTCGACCAATTCATTGATTATTTTAGTTATTCCTGTCTAACTCTCTTGGCATTTTTTCCTCTTTTCCTACCATTCTTTTTCAGTTCCACTCATTATCATTTACATTTCATCTATGATTTTCCACCATTTCAAATTAACATAATCATGATCAAACTGATTTCAGGTTCATCCGCCATATGCTTATGGCGCTAACCCTTATTATCGTGCGTTCTTCGGCTCAGCACCTCTATTTGTTTGACTGTCCACCGGATGATTGTTTGCGTTCAATAAGAGACCAACAAATTGCATTCACAAATAATTTCCATCTATTGATCTAATATATATCGTCATTTGTTTGTATGGAGTCGTTTGTAAATTGTTGATAAAGTGTCACATTGAACAGAATGATGCTTACTAATGTTTGATGAGAGATAAGTAATCCCCAGTTTACAATTATCAACTCTACCGAGTCGAATTAATGACAGTTTTCGTCACAGCAATGTTGAATATTATCTGGTCTTCTCATGTGAATCAATGAACTAAACCAGTGGTTTTCACGAGGGATACGAAAGTATCAAGATGGCTTCATGAAGTTGGCAAATCATTGTCAACTGATTCTTTTCATCATTCGTCCATAGCTGTATAGTTTTGTTTTCATAATGCTTCTTTGATCACGAAAAATTAATTCATTCGTTTGATTCAACCGCCGGATTCGTAATTGATGGATTAAACTCCGTCTGATTTGTCGTTAACCTATTAGAGGTAGGGGAACTGCGGTGGTATATATTGATGGAGGGGCAACGACGGTCTACCGTACGACCAACGAGAGGCATAAAGTGAAAAATGTGAGGATCACTGAGTTGAACACTGGCTTCCATATACACCTGCCAACCTACTCTTCATGCTGGTCTTTTTGCCCTGTTTCCAAGGTTCATCAACAGTGTAACTCAGGAAAATGTATCTTCAAGATCGAATTTGTTCCTTTCAATCACTTTTATCGAACGTAAACGTCAGAATGATGTTTTCGAATTGTTTCGTACTATTTGTGGAGTTACAATGCTGTTAGAAGTATTCTATGCAGCTCATGAAATCTGTTGCGACATTTGATAAGTTGCTGGCCAGATGCATACGAAACGCCGAAAGCTCGTTTGGTAAAAATCAGTGAAATTACCATGTTCTTCAACAAAGTCAAAAATTCACTTCATTTATAAAGATCATGATTGATTCATGGTTTTGCGACGACTTGCATGTTGCGTGAAACTTTCACCCATCAAACTTCTTAGCAGTTTTTTTTTTGCTGGATGCGTTTGCGACTATACAAGTTCAAATAGATTAAGTGCTAAAACTTCCAAAGGACTCATGGTTAATGCTGAAACCACCGCGAATTACTACCAGCTTTTTGATATTATCATTAATACCCATACTTTTTCATTTCCTTTAGACTTGTGATACTGGCCATGATACTGACTGTTCACTTCGATAGTCTGCATAACGCTGCATTGCAATTTTTTCTTCTTCCAGCTTTTCCAACAGTCGACTTGTCCCCTGAAATAGAGCACACCGTTTTCATCTACAGAAAACTTCATTCAAAACGAATTTGCACAAGGTGAAAAGATTGAATGAGATACTTGCAGACTCATTAAAATGATAATCTCAAACTGATTAAACAACTCCATTAAATGGCTATTTTACGAGCGAATATCTATGGGGTAGCTTCCGGACAAAAATCAGCGAAGAATGAATAGTGAATGATCCTCGAATATGAGCTGAACAGACCCACGAACTTCCGCGATAAGATTAGGAAATTTATGAGTGAAGTGCCACGATTCTATATCAAGTGCGTTTTCATAACATCACATTTCACTTCTAAATACCGAGTTTATCCATGTTATTACCAAAGTGTTTTTTATATTATGCGACTTAATCATGAACAGCTGATCACTATGGGATAAGAAAAAAAACGGGCCTTCTTGCGAACATAATAGAATGGACCTGGTATTCCAATCAACATATATTAATAATTAAATCTTTCAACCTAATGAAGTACCATCGACCAAGAACACTGATGGCAACGGAATTCTCAATGAGCTGATGAACCCCTTCAACAGAAAGCATTACTTACGAGTGGAGAAACCAATTTTAATTGTTCATACAGCTTTAATTTACATTCTGCGAAGTCTGGCCGATCCAGTTGGTCGAAGTGCCAACAATCTTCCATAATTTCATACCTACAATAACACAGATAATTTTTTCTTCTGCAAACTGCTTTATTGTTCAACGTTTCATTCGTAAGTGCATCTAGGCATCATTTCTTTTAAAAAAATCAGATTCTAACCAAACAAAAAACAACTGACACTGCCTTGGGCGAACAAGCCGGTTTCTCCAAATGATATCCACTACAAAGACGATCAAATAATTCATCATTATCTTGGATTTTATTGTATGGATAATCACCAAACGTAAACAATTCCCAAAGCAGCACTCCAAACGACCACACATCCGACTAAATGCATTATTTTTGATATAAGCCTTAGCATTCGTGGCAATTGCTTTCCGATTAATTCACCGTATAATGAAATATTTTCGAAGTCAAAAATGTTCTTGCGTATCAATTTTCATGGTGCTTTCTCTTACATTTGAAGTGAATTTTCGTTGTTAGAGATAGCTCACTTCAGCGAATCGCATACCACATTTGTGCTTTCCTGGTGAACTCAGTAAGTGCTCATATCGACTGACCTTTTCAGAGAACTCTTTAGCCGTTAATGTTTCAGGCGCCATCCATCGAACGGGAAGAGGGCAGTCACTCTTCATATGATAAATTGATTGATCTTTACGTGCCAAACCAAAATCAGCAATCCTGATGATCCGATTTTTCGTAACGAAAATGTTTCGAGCAGCTAAGTCGCGATGTATACACTGAAGAGCTTTATCCACATTATTCATGCATCGTTTCGACAATAATCGCATACAGCCCATTAAATACATGATACGTTTCGATGGAATGATTGGTATTTAGGCATTCTATTTTCCTTTATTAGCACACGAGAGTAAACTTGATGTGATTCCTTCATCAGACATCGCAGTCAACTTACAAATATTGCTAATCATAAAAATTGCGTGGAACTGCATACCAATTTACTTGCGAGAAATTGCATTCCATTTGAAATTTGGTAACCGAACGATATTAAATCACATGTCGATAAGACAACACCATTAATGCGCTCAGTGTTCATTAATAAATCCCAATCTGGTTTAACTTGGGCCTAAATCGTGCAATACGGCTCAACAAATGGATTGATTGATGAATTAAATCAACAGTGAAAGTTTATCAGTTTTTGAGCTTCAGCTTGTGAGCAGAGAAGAAACAGAATTGATCACTTCAAGATATTTTCGCTTTATCGAGATATATTTCTAAAGTTCAATACATCTAAAGATTTCTAGAAACGGAATCGATGCAACGAATTTACAGCATAACATTCTTCGGCGTTTCGCCGAACTGTATTCGATACAAGATAGCCATTGTCGATTAGTTGCTGTCTTCGCATATTAACCACTTCATCCACATAATTTGTTCTGTTATCATGCACAAAACTGCGTAAATCACCCATCTCACAAAATTCGGTGATAACGTAAAGATAGTTGCTGAAAAAAGATTCGGTAGAGATAAGGTTGCAGGGAATGGAATCTATAGTAATTTGATTCTACCTGACAAGGTGCTTTACAACAGCACCAATAAGACAAAGCACATTTGGATGCTCTCCAATTGCAATCATCACCCGAAGTTCCGCAACGAGTGCTTCATAGTGCTCTATATTATAACGATTGCGAGGTCGCTTGGCAGCAGCTCGAACGAATTCAACGTGTTCCTTGTCGACTGTTGATCTTCTTTTCAATACACGACACAAATACACCGATCCATACTCACCGCCACCGAGAAGCTGCAAACAAAAGTGAACGATGCAACGAAGCAATGGAGTTGAACACAGATGTTGATCGCAACTACTGTAGCTGTGAACAAAGGTAGACCTAGAATCGGTCGAGTCTTTCAAGCGAACGCGTTCAAAGAGTTGTTGTGAATTTTGTTTGCTCTGCTTAAATTATTAACCAATAAAATTCTTTCAATGCATCAGCTTCACTCGAACTATATAGATTACCAACTTTTTCAAAACAGATTCTTTCTCTTTCAATTTCAAACTTTCTTTCATAAGGCAACTGATCGATCCTTTCATGTAATGGTCGTTGATCATTCTTCAAGCACGTATCATCAACGTTAGTTGCAGTATGCATCAGTTGTGCGTAAAGTTGTTTGAGTTGTTGCGCTTGTTTTGTATTTTTGCGCCGTTGTCGAACAATGAAAAGTGCACAAGTGATGAACGACGCTGAACTTATGACGCCAACGATTCCAAGTATCCATCCAAGTGTATTCGGCACTCTGTGCACGATAACATCTTTCAGCTGAAATCATCTGTACACCCTAATCAAAGGCTCACATCAACGGATTGGATACACCAGCCATAGAATATGTGGTCTTTTGAAAAGTTATTCACGAATCGATCAGTATTCACGACATATTAATCAGAAGCATTCGAAAAAATTTTATTGTAGTCCATTAACTTCATTAATTGCATTACATTTGCATTAATCACAAAGACATATATAACAGCTGAACGTTTTTTGTGTCGGTGGTTAGCTTTTTGACACGATTTGTATTGAAATTTTCTTATTTTTTTCTCTTCGGTACTATTATCATTCTTTTCAGATTTTTATCTTTCGGCAACGTGGAAGATTGTAATGTCTTGCCTCATAGTATGCTGACTTACGGTCGTCGTAATCTGAGTCGAAAATACATTCATATACACCATACTGAGAGCTAAATATTGAAATATCAACTGCGTAACTTTGACGAAAGTTTTCCTCAGTAACGTTCACTGGACCAACCATTTCGCCATCTTTATACCAATACACATTACTACAAAAGTGAGGTGGATTAGTGGTACATCTCGTCTACTCGAGTGAAGTCACGTACCCCACTGCCATGCACCTAACTGTTGTTATGCTGATAAAAGAGCTGGTGGTCGAAAGATTTTCTTCGGTGGCCACCGATAGCGCAAATTTTGAGCATCGGTCGGTTTCGGTCGGTGGTCACCAAAATTCGGTTTGCTAAGGCCACTGACCGATTGGTCATTTTTTAAAATCTCGGTTGATGGCCACTGAGATTCGACTGCCACTGAACTTCGGCTCCGTTCAGTTTCGGTCAGTGCCGTGTTCCTTGTTCGTTTGCCACAGACCGAACAGTCGCTTTCGATTTGCAATATCTACCGACCCAACACTATCTGACAAGGAGTGATTGATTCACAAAGAAGAAGGCAGAACAAAGCTGAAGTAGGCAACTCCAACAAAACAATGCAATGGAGATGCGGTGACCTTATCTAACGAAAGTGCTGTTCACATCGCTCTCATTGTATGATAAAGTCATACTGAAAGCGCAGTATATATTTGCCGCAAGAAGAGCAATTGAGTTATCAATACTTCATAAGCACTGCTAAAAACTCACCCCACCTCACCGATCGGTAGCTGACATACTAGAAGAATTTGTTCACCATGATTAACGCGAATTATTTGCATTTGGCTTATAGCAGAAACCCTGACGAGTAACTCTTTTGCCTACAATGTGGTAATTTTACGTTTGCTCAGTAATTTGAAATGGTAATCTTCACTCACATGGAGCGGAAGATATAAATCGAGAAATGGATTTATAGTGGATTTAAGGAATTTGCATATTTCATTTGGGCATCAGCTTTACGCACAATTACGTGATCATCATTGAACTTTCTCTGCATTCAAGATTCGCATTTACTGCATCAGTAATACTCGTGACGATATTACTTAAAATGTTCAGTACAGAAGCAGTGATTTGTGGTGATTATTAGAAATGTTTTGTGATTCGCAAAAAATGTACACTTGAAACAAACCTCATTATTCCGCTCATCCACACAGCGATATAATGTGTCTTCGGATACTGTTTCGTTAATTTTCAATACGCTTTTGTAGGTATATTTATCTACTTTCAATTCACTTGAGTTGATGTTGATCCAGTTCTTATCGTACGCTCTGAAAAAAACATTGGAACCAACGAGATTTTAGTGTTCGAAAGCATTTCCCATTTGCTACTGTTCTCTTTTTCTGCCTTCAAAATTCCGCTTTTAATGTTCTTTTGAATCTCCACAACATGCGATTATTGATGCGAATTAGTTGTTTAAAAAACGCATCTATATGCGGCAGTAACAGCGAAAGATTCGAAAGTCGTGCAATTTTACTGCTGAACGGATCATTTTGTTTGCAAAAAAAGAAGTGACAGTTAGTTATTTTACAAAACAAAACACAATGAGCTTGAGTGTGTAAAATCATAATCGACCCACTTCGATCGTTGCATCGTAATTCCAGTGATATTGTTATCGTTAGTGTCACAATCAATCACAGCATTTTTACCGAAAAGAATGACATCTTCCCCAACTGAATTATAAGTTAACATGGATAAATCATCAATTCGACGTCGCAATGGATGAACAATTACTTTCCATTTAAAACTCGCATTGAAGTCATCGCCAATAGTAGCAACAAGTTCATAGCTGAAATTTCTTGTTCTCAATAATTGAGATTTAAGCTTCAGCTTTAAAGGTTCAACATTGAGTGATATATCTTTGTTTCAACTGTGCTTCTTTTATATGGAGTAAATCCAATAGCTGAACGTGTCATGCGGAGTGGCCTGATCAAGATGAGCAAAAAAATGGAACTAAGAAGAGGTTATTACTAAGCAATCTTTCAACACTAACATTCCAGCGTCTTCAGCATTTGCCCTTGCAATAAACAGCCTCCCTCCACCCAAATAAGGATCGCTTTGATTGTTAATTGTATACGTGATATTTCTGGTGACTGACTCTCGACTCATTGCAAGTGGAAGATAATAAGTCTGGACTGAGAGTTACGTTAGTGAAGACGTTTAAGTTGCAACTGTGATCAGTATGTGGCGAATCGCTCGGTGACGTAATGAACAGAGCGTGGATAAATCTCACTAGATTGCATGCATATTAAACAGCTCATGATGAGATAAATGATTTGATTGCTAACAACTAACACGTGCGTATTTCATCAGATCGGTAGATTTGAGTGGATGTGAATGAAAATATGATACTTGTTCATTGAGAGGATTCATTGCAATTAATGCTAGAAGCACACCTTAAACCATTGCAGACTGTATCCACTGGGCTCGAACATATCAAAATTAATCAAAATCTCCAAGCTCTGTCCTTCTTTGATCTCAATTGGTGATGCTGACATATTTCGTAAACGCAGTCGTCCTTCTTTAGACACAGACGCATTTTGTGGAAGACTTTCAGTTGTTTCTGGATTTGACAATGACTAACGATAAGCGGTGAAAATTTATCGTATATTGTGAGTTGTAGACTTCTCTTATAAGGAACAAAGAAACAGAGAGACGAAAAATGCAAAAAATTTGTTATGGTAATGTATGACTGACCGACCAAAACGAAAATATAAAAGGAGATGTCGCTCGCTGCTGTCAAACAAGTGTACTTTCCAGTATGATGCTTCTGGGCATGCGCAATCTCCAACGCAATTCCACCCTCAGTTCTCTTCGAAGTTATGTAATTGTAAACCTGTGAAAAAATTGCAAGGTTCACGACATAATATGAAGAACTAGCCAATTAATTTCGTTGAATTATGACCATTTCTGTCTTTATGTTAGACTAAATCGAAAATGACAATGCAAAGGGGTTGTGAACACTCTGACACCTTGTTCAGGTCGTGTCCTCTCACGGAAGTGATATTTGGTAGAAGCAACTGAATAGTATCATTTGAATGACACTCCACTGCGAATCTATCACCTTCTCGCAGTTGAATATACGTCTCACCATTGTATAAACCGATCGTGGCATTTGCACTTTTGTGAATCAACATAACACGATCTGCTAGCACCATTGAAATGAATGATACCAATATTGAAATTAGGCACTCAGGCAGTCTTTGTCGCATTTCCTCTCTGAATATTACTTCACTTCAAGACAGGTATATCAAATGAAGCGTTTGGAAAATCAACAACTTTTGCTTTCCACTTAAATACTCTTCAGTTCTCCTTAAGTAAAACTGAAACAGAGAAGAAGGCTTACAATTAGAACAATTACAGCTGAGTGTATGGGATGTGAATAGAACGGACAATGATATGAACTGTGTTAGATCAAAAATGTTTACACACTCAATCACCGCGAATGGCAATTGAATTCATCAGTATTTTCATGCCAATATATATTGGTCTCCGACTCTGTTAAAAATGACTTGTCGTCATTTCCAGTTTTTCCGCGTTTATCAGTGTTTGCTTCATGCTCGGTAATGTTGTTGAACAATGCTTATCAACTTTAAACGCACAAGCGACACAAACAAATGAGCGTTCACCTTATTGTTCTATCCTACGTTCATGTTTGCAAGTGCCATAGCAGATATGGAACAATTCCATTCAATTCAGTGATAACGCTATAGATAAGCATGATATGATAATTATGAAATTATTGACTTGGGACTATGTGTAGGTGGATTAATTTTGGAACGCATCTTTTGAGACACGAGTTTTCTGCCCGAGAGGAAATGATCGGTATTGTAATAGTGAATCATCAGGGAAAAAAAACACGACAATAGAACATTTCAGTTACAGCTGAAAGCATTGTAGCATATTTTCCCGTGATATATATAAGTGTGGAATGATTTTAAAAATACCAACCAAATAAATAGAGTTTGACGAACGCTTTAGGATATTTTTCACATTTTTTTCAAAGTTTGCAAAATTCAGTGAATGATTCACAGTTCAAAAACAGAACGTAAACACTCATATGGTTGTTACAGAGCTCGGTTATTTCATTGATAAGCTTTCTTTTCAAATACATATTGCATTCCATAGTTTCTAGCGGATGAATCTGAAATAGTTTATGAAAAATCTCCCGCACTGGTATAGCAACAGTTTGTCTGAAAGCTTATCATTATGTTTTTTTTTGCTGGTCTAAAGTAAGCAATTTAGACTGAGAAAAATGATACTGTTTACATTAAAAAATCAACAATTTATATTACAATGATAAAGGAATGAAACTATGACATGGTATCAGTGATTGGAACGAATCATGATGAATAATATATGATGAAATGAGCGAACAGCAAAGATTGGAAAGCAAAAAATAATTGAAAAGGACTAAAAAGCAAAAAAATTCAGATATGTTTTGTACTAACATAATATCGAAACCTTTTGTGAGAGGAGAAGCATCAGTGAACACTCAACAGTGCTATCGATAGCAATTTTGTCATATTAATGAAAGAATTTTGTGATTTTGTTGTTTCCGCTGAAATGCATAAAGCGTATAATAAAGTGAAATGCTCTGTCGGAAAGAAAAGACTGCTGTATACGCTTGATAAGGTGTCATGTGCGAACGTGCATAGGCAGTCATATTTCTCTCCAAAATAAAAGAATTGTGTAGGTACGCTGTCAAGCTTGATTTCTACAAATGAATCAGCAACACAGGAGTGGCAAAAACTTTACTGTCATAACAGTTCAAACATACTTCATCACCTAACCCAGCCCAATATGAACTACAATGAGATTTAAGTTCCGTGTTAGTGCAAGATTTCCGGCTTGAGTGAGCCGTTTTGCGATGGGCGTTAAATTGGACTATTTCAAAAACTAAAATATTCCACAAAATTTGCGAATAAAGTTCTTTTTTTTGAAATAGCTGAACAATGTTTGATGGGTTGGCAATTATTGCTTATCTATTCATCTACGAAATGTCTCCTTAGTGTGAATAGTATTTAAATTATATTGAATAACGTCTGCTTCCTATTTCTCTTTCATTGTAAGCATAAACATCAATCGCATTGCTGATTGTGAGATACGAAACCCAGTAAGTAAGAGAAACGATCGTAAGAAACATAATAATAAAGTGGAGATTTCGTGAAACTGTAATTCTAAATTCTTGCAATTTCGTAAATATTTCAGTTCATTCATTGAACATAATCATCCGAACGTTTTCCAAGCATATGTATGGATGTGTAGTTTGCTGACTAAGAAAAGGGACTGGAAAATGTGAAAAACTGAAAAGCAAATAACTGTTGAAAAGTGCGATTCACATTGACTGCACACAGAAGCACCAAATTATTGATGTGACGAGTGTATGAACAACGCTTTGTGTTCGTTTCCAAATGATCAATCAATCAGTGGGCAGCATATATGTTGTCTCGTTCCTTATAAATCAGTGATAATCGATCACATTTTTTGGTGTTGATCAAGAAAACATTCACAGTTGATTAAATCTTGTAATCGACTGACTAAAAAAACTAATTGCATAAACTTGATGCCACAAATCGGTGCAATCTTGAAGAGATGAGTTCATTTCAAAATTGTTTGCGTAAATTCATGACACAAATGATGAATTTGGTGAATGCGATTGTTTTGCCCTTACAATAGTTGATGTCATAGTCCATAGTATTTACACTAACGATAAGCGTTTTCCTTACTTATCAACACTGATCACGTCCTCTCCAGTAGTTTTCAACACTACACATGCTACCCAACTTTTCTCCGTAATGGCATTCATAATGCTACAGGTATGAAGAGTGGAGTTAGGCATTTAATGAAGCAGATATTATCTGTGTTGCATAACTGATTAGTGCATTTGCTCAAGATGATATAATCAACAGGATACTGTTCAGCATTAAACGAATATCAGGACAGCATTTACTATCAATGAGTCATGCGAACACGTAAAACGATATGGGGATGCATTACAAGTGACAGCTGTACGAAATGAGTTTCCTTTCAAGGACGATTTCCTCATTTCGTCGTTTCTTATATCGGTGAATAAATCTTTCATTACTAGTACGATAAGAAAAACACATTATTCTGTCAAATTTATTGTTGAAGGATTCCCTTATTCATTTCAATTCAACAAAATCAACTGCTCTTTCATTTATCCTCATTCTCAACATGAACGATCTTTGTCGAGTATCATTTCAATTCTCTTTCATCTGAAGCGTTCTTTCGTCTATTACTGACATTGTTTTGGTTGATCCACTGGGCTACGAATCAGTGAAACGAAGAATTTCAGTCAATTTCTCGACTATTGTTTCCCATCATGTATGCATTTCCAATTTGTTAGCTATTTGCAAATTCAACTTGTTTCCCTTAGATTTGAGTAATCTGTGAGATGTGATTCAATTCAAATATTTTCACATTCAGTCTCTAATTATGAGATGGGTAAAGCGTTTACAAACGTTGTCATGAATTGATGCGCGAATAGCACATTCACTCAAAACTATCGCAGCGTTTCAAAACGTTTGATATTTAGAGTTGTCCATTCATATTACCTTCGCCATGCGCAATCATGCATTCGGAAGTTTATTGAAAATTTGGCCAAGCTAAACTATTTTTCGGCCTTTCAAATGCACGATAATTAATAACAATAGTTTTGAATGAAACTGCTGCAATAATTGAATGACTTCTATTCTACTTATGTTCCTGCAAATGTGCAGTCAATTTGCAGATTGAGACAGCATCCATGCAACCTCTCACTATTGCTCATAAGAATTTGTGCAATTGGTCAAGGCACAGATAAAATACTCACACATATCCTGCTCAAAACCTTTATTTACAAGCAGACGAAAGTGACGCTCTGAGAGCGTGTTAACTGTTAAATTTGTGTTCTGAAACTACCTGTCTCATAAAACAATCCAGTGACATTTCTTCAATTTAATCAATATTTTCGATCCTCGAGCAAATGACGCAAAAATATCATTTCGACCATCTTTTACTTTATATTGCAATCTTGTGAAACTATTTTAAACTTGAATTTGTCCGTTTTATTTGTTGGCAATTTAAAAGGAATGACTTTGTAATTCAGTGTGATTATTTCGAAGTGGGATTGCTAGATCAATTTATTGTTCACATATGTATGGCATCTTTCGTGGCAGTTTACCTAAAAATGAATTAGTCAACTCTCAGCGAAATTGAGGTGATGACATAAAGAGAGCAGTTTACAATATGCAGCAGTCGTCAGCCTGTAGAAACGATGACCAACACAGTGAATGACAATGACTGAAGCTGATGCAAAACAGGTACTTGAGAATAAGCCATCGGTTTACAATATCTAATCTCGTCACAACACACGATATCCTTCATCTTATCCCATTTCATTTTCGTCCACTCAGGCGATGTTGATACTATTCATCAAACTCTCAGCGATCCACTGTTTGTTACAGTTCGATCACTTTCACAAACAGGTATGAGTATATCGCCATTCATTATCCATCCACTTTGCTTATATCAAAATCACATCTCTCTATTATTATTCATATAATCTTACAACCTCACCTGCTAACATATATTTCAAAAATCATTCTCTCAACCGAACTGCTTAATGCTAATCTGCTGCTTATACATCCCGCTTACGGCTGCTCATCCGAATTGAACTTATTTCTTGGCGACTCTTGCTTTTTTGAGTTCCTTCCATATCATCAAAACAGGCGAGAAGTGATCAGTATGGATCAATTCCGAAAGTCAGCGAATGCATATGCCTCCCTTACTATCACATTTACGTACCAATAATGATTACTTGAGTCTACATATGTTTGATTATTGAATGCAGTTTGATCGTAACTACAAAATGGGTTTCGGATAGATTTTGTCACTTTCACTAATTTCTCTGAATGTTCTCATCCGATTCTTAACAGCTACCAGCACTTTTTAGCTGCACTTTCTAGAATTGATCATTTTACAAATATTAAGTGCCATAATTTTAAAATTCTGTTTCGATGATTCAACTACTCTTCGTTCGTAGCTCGATATGAATTCTATTTGATTTCTCTTCAGATTGTCCCTCATTGTGATATTGATTCAATCGCAGTGAATTCAATGAATTGACGTCGTCCACCCACGTCTTTAAGATCACAATCTCTTTAACTGTATCTCAATTGAATTCTTGTTCGTGCACTTGTTGTGACAGTTTGATGTAAAAAGTAGCGCTTGGCGTCGTGTCGATCCGAGCATCTTTGCCTTGTTATGACAGCAGTTTGGATCGTTTCGCACTTTTTACCTGCAGATACGACCAATTTATGCGCTCACTATATTTAAGAATTTCCACTTAGCAGAGCAATCAGCAAGTTTAGTCATGCAGTATGCGTAACGATGCTTTCAGCAAACTCGAACGAGCGATTCGATGACCAGATCCTTCAGATAATCAGTGATACCATTTGTATGAATTTCAGAGAAATTTCTAAATGCGATGAAAAATGCTTTCATTACTTTCGCTAATTCTTGCCTCGGGATCAGTTCTTCGTGCTGACACTGAGCAGTGGTCCGCTAGTACGTATCCGAATCCTCGAACAAATTCAACACAATGCAACACATGGCCCAATTCGACACTTTGTGATCCCGATCACATTCTAACCGATCAGTGGCGACTCAATATTAACGAGAATATCAATCATCAGATTGAAAGTATTTCATTTGTAAACATTGTTCTATGATATTGAAACAAGTAGATCGTCTAAGCGCTTGAATTTTTTCCACATTGGACTGAGTGAATTTCAACTCTATTCCCCACATCGTCCATCGATTTTCTCGAAACAGCTAATCAAAGTCCTCACTTCATTTCATTATGAATGTTTTCGTCTCCTTCTAGCGGACACAATCGTGACATAAATTTCAATAGAAATGTTTTCTTCCCTAACTTAATTTGAGAAAATTTTTAGTAAACTTCCTATAGAGTTTTGCATGCGTGATTATTCCGTAGTTGATCGATTGCGTATCTGAATAGATAACTTATTGTAGGACTTCGTACGTCAAATGTTCATTACGTCGAGGACGCACCAGAGGAGTGCTATCTGAAAAATGCTACAGAAGACCTGAACATCTATGTAATTCTTGCGAAGAAGATTCAGACGCAAGCGAACCACTCCACAACGGATACAGACTTGGTTATTTGAGAAAATAAAGTGTTTACATATTGTATAAGGTCATATGAATGGATTGCGTTGTATCATGTATCCTCACTGAAAAAACAAACTAAAGTGTTGTAGTTAGTTGATTTTTATTTCGAAACACAAACTAACATCTTTGTGGCTATGTTTGTTTTCAGACTGAATTTGGTGACGAAATCGCCGACGAGTATGGGCTGAATTCATTGCCGTGCAAGAATTTCCTGATTATCATTGGTGTTGAAGCAGCTAAGCTTGCATATGTTAGAGTAAGTGATGTCATGCTTTCAACATTTCTAGATTTATGGAAAGTTTTTAACTTTCCGTAAATGCAAACGTAAAAATCTATCAATGGCGTCAGTTCATTATTTATTTTTTCTGCGCTACTGTTCAGCCATCCAATGTGAACTGCTGTGAAATGGAGCTGTTAAGTTGTTGGTATAATTCAGAAGTTGTTTATATAATCAACTTTTGTAATCACTAAATTAATGATGACAGCTGCTGTAGAGTGTGGAAACAAACCGTTTTAAAAAATAATCAAATACTGCGACAAGATCAATTTGTTTCAAGCGTTTGTTGAAATATCTTACATTTATGGCAACTCGAATTGATCATTTGTGTATTCACGTGCATTTATTTGGGTTCATTTTGAGAAGCGAATGTCTGAAGAAGGAGGGCAAGATGTCAAGTCATTTTATGTTATTTGAAGTGCTAAAAAAACAAAGATTTCTTCATGACCCTATAAGATCGATCAAGAAAGTCAAATTTGTCTTAAACGACACCTCTGTAACAACCTATTCATATGAAAGTCATTTACCAGACAGGAAAAGACTTGAAGTTGCCACCAAATTTGATGGAGAACGTCTTCAATCAATATACTGGCTTGTTCAATGCTAAAAACTATATGGAAGGATTGAATAACGTCATCAACGAGATTGGTGATCAAATGATCGATCCTTTCAAGGTGAAACGATTGCATTCAACAATTGAACACAAACCAGGCTATTATGAAGCTTAACAAAATTATAGTACAAAGAGAGTAATGAATTTAGGAGTACATTACCGTACCGATGCAATTGAACAATAATGTGTGTTTCACGCAAATTTTTCAATTTCATGTAAGCGCAAAACATTCCTTTTGTAATTACTTTTATTCAAATATTATACAGTAATCTGAACAAAGGCATTACGGGTTGAAATTGTTATGTGTTAATTCTTAGGCACAACCTGCAACTGAAATGACGGATAAAGCACTGGAAATCATAAGCACGCTATCTACCACTGAATCTTCGACGTCTGCACTTGTAACAGCACCAATTTCCAGTGCGACCACAAACGTCTTCCGTCAACTCGCTCCGTGGTATTTGATATCATGTTTGATTGAAATGAACAAAACCGAAATTTTATTGATTGCAATATTCTGGTAAATTATTATGAACCTTAACAAGTACGTGCATATCTGTAAAACGGAATCTGATGGAAGGTGTTCAAAATTTTTAGCGATCAGATGGAACTCAGAACAATTTCAGGTGGATGTACGCACTGATGATTTTCGCTATCGTGTGTGCGGTTGTGGCGCTCTTTTTATTGTTCATGATGCGATGTCAAGCTAAGCGTTGTGTTCGAACACAGGTAAACACAGTCATGTCGGCTATACCCGAAGTGAATGGCAGTCATCATAAAACAAGTGCGTACGAAATCTCTAACAAAAACGTTCAATCTGCTTACAATATAGGTATTCAAATTTCTCGCAATACAAATGTGTAGCATGCTTCACAAAATCGATTGCGCTGCCTCACGGTTTCAAACGATAGCATATTTACGTTGTACTGTAACCATTTTTCAAAACTCTGAAACTGTAAAAGAAAAATAACAACCGCTCTACACGAGAACTCTTCAGCCTTAGGCGCGAAATCCCTTTTTGCCATTCTAAACAATCACTTTATCACACAAACCGCTAAATAAGATAAGTTCGAATGCACTGAATCAAAATTGTGCGTTCCTTCTTTGTGAAAAAAGTCACGAAGTTTCCGTATAAGATGTCATCAGTGTCAATTAAGGGGCATGTGTAAACAGTACAGTAATCGTTGGCGATGAAATATCGAGAGGAATTAATACAGGTGTGATGACTTCAAACAGTGAGGGCTTCAACGATTTCATCGTTCGCACTTCGGAAAAGTCTTCCAATAAAGTGCAAAATGGTGCTTCAGGAGATGGTTTTTCATCGTCGGTCGATGCAATACACACAGAATCTAATTTGCAGTCTAGCAAACAAACTCATCACACTTTACACGCTATCAATTTGTGCACTTCTCAGCACAAAAATACCCATAGCAGCGATCAAATGACACTCTTGAGCACCTCTGAAACACCTCCCAAGTTTTCTGAAATATTAGTCGAAGTACCTATTCCGGCAGAGCAGCAGAATCACAAAAATCAGATGATTTCGGCAAAGCTCTTGAACAATAATGAGACGAATCATCGGAATGATTGTGCGTATTGGCTCCGGTCGAACAATTTGTCACCAATCACGCAATCAACTAGTATGGGCAGTTGTCGAAGTGATGAAAGAAAATCAACAACGTCAACGGAAAATCTTGGAAATACTATTCAAGAGGAGGTACTTCTTAGACAACCAACAATTTCGTGCCTAAATCTTATTGCCATTTGATTGTGTTTTTTTTTACTGAAAGCATGATTTTCTTTGATGAAGAGAATGCACGAACGAAACGTTGGTCACTCAGAAACGATTTTTGCAAGACTTCATTATAGGAGAGATCTGTTGCTGAATCAGATGAATTGGAGTACAGTTGTGAAGTGGTGCGACCAACTACTCCACCTAAAGTTGCAACCAAAGTAGGATTTTTTGGATTTTGATGAGGAGTATAAAATTGAATGAACGCTACATTTTTTTAGCGTTACATTTACATTTAAGTTATATTGTGTCGGAATTATTACCGAAATTATTGGTCAGTATATCTGGTAGTTCGATAAACATACAAAACGATGTTGTATCAATTTTTCGATTGAATAAAAACATTTTTTGATGAGCACTTTTCACCATGATTTGATCCAATAAATGATCGCTCCTCACTATTCGCTAAATGCAAAAGCTAATTTGGATGGATTATTTGTTTGCGCATAAACTGATATAATTTAATTTGAATTTAGGTTCACCTGAACGCAGATAATCTCTCTACGGACTGTATAACGAATGAAGAACATTACCCTACAGGATTGTAGCGAACAAAGACTGTTATTAAGTCGGATCAAATGTAAATTTAATTACATCAAAACACTGATTATAAATATCTTAAGCTATGCACCACCTGGTTGATTCGATGGACAATTATCAGTTTGATAGGATAAAGTAATGCCAGTGAAGATGCTGAATTGTGTGGCCTTCGTGGTCGTGCTTAAATTTATCAAGCGTCACAAATTATTGGTATAATGAATTGTTGTAAGTGTTCGCATAATGACTTCTCATTGTTCGGTGCTCATAGCATATTCAATGCAATCAGTATTATATTTTGTTACATTCAATCAAACAATTGTTTTGAAAAAAGTCTTTGACTGGATATGAGAGGTGTCGAGTCAAACCATCATAAGCGACTAACAGTTATTCCCCAGTGCTGTACCTCAACGTGCAAGATGCAGTTTCAAAGGATCAGTACGGTGTCGTGCATTTCGGACGTGCGTCATTGGTTTTTGTTTTTGTACGTTTTTCATAGATGGCTAAAGCGTGATTTGGCTGAAATGTGGTTCATTTGAAACATAATGTAGGGAGCATTTTAAATGTCTGGTGCTTTTTTCGTTTGATGCATTAGGTAAACTGACATAAAGTTGAGCTGATACAAGAAATTTCTCGTATAAACCAGCATAACTTGATGATGCAGTGTCGAGACAAATTGCAATGTGCAAGATGCAGCTGAAAATGATGTCGTTTGATGCATAGATGACATTGCAAGTTCACCATGATTCATAAAACTCTTGCATGACAATGTACGATGAACTATGCTAATTTTAGATTTTGATAATCATGAGTTGTTCAGGTCAATGCAACGATCTTAAATTGACGAAATCGACGACGAATTGCATAGTGACGAATTTTTTATAGATTTAGCTCGAAGCTTACTCATTTTTGTGTCGAGATATTCTGTGAGTTTCTTGTGCAACGTTATCACATCTACTCAAAAAATCCGAGAAGCACAACAATCATAAATTTATCACATAAATTAGTGATCGTGTTACAATGGCGATATCCGATAATAAAAGTGTTTGTTTGAGAGGAAAATGAAATGAAGATGATTTAAAGGTTGGTGGTATGGTTACTCATCTATGATTACACAGATGTAGCAAGGCATGTTGCTTTATAAATACAATCTACGGTTCGCTGTTCGTCGTCGGACATGTCCATGTCTTCACAGATTAGAACGAACCACGAAATTTCTTACCACCCACACCACACAGTTTCCATCGGCAACGGATGTCGCGAGTGAACACAGCTGGAATTAAATTATGAAATTAATTGGTTCATTTTCATTAAGTGTATCTACCTAGCCCAAGGATCTCCATCGGGGGGGGGGGGGGGGGGGGGCGGAAATTGCGCATCTTTGGGTAATTTGGAGGTGTCAGGAGGTAATGGAATGGATCGGAAAAATAGTTCTGATGAGTGGAAATAGTAAATTATTGCGGCGGAAGGAGAGAGGTAATGACAGCCTGCCAGACCGTCGAATTGGGAAATGAAGTATCCGAGCGTTGGGACCACAGAATAGCCCTTCTACTTTCTCCACTTTCCTCTGGGCCATTCTTATTCCGAAATTCGGGTGCACTGACGTTCCAATCGAATATTTTGCATCAGTATGAAACCTACCATCGCGTTCACCATGGAAGATGACTGATGTAATAATTGATGAGGAAGATTAATATTTTGCAGGGGAAGTTAAGTTGTCAGTGGCAAAATGAAGACGTTACTTCTCACCGTGAAAGTCAGTTCTTCTCAGCATCAAATGAACTAACTTTTTAGCAAAACTTTCTAGAGCTATTACTGGAACAGCGAATCAAATAAATCGAAAACATACGCTCGTCATTGACTGTAGCTGGTTGCTCAAGAGATGATAATGAAAGAAAATCTTCATATCCATTTGGTGACAGTCCGGTACCATAAAAATTCAATTTAGCGATGGCGTTATTCTAAAATCATCAAGGATTTCATCAGTCATTACTTGTATAAACCATATGATCAGCACTGAAACGGATTGACTGCTACCAGTGATGGGCGACCCACAAGCACGTGAGCAAAATATGGGTGAGTGACAACGGCTAATACTTTGTTTCGTGAACAGTGAGTGAGCAAACTCGTGAGCAATGAGTATGAGCAGCTCAGACATAGTCCCCCATCATTGACTGTTATTATTTTTCACCACGGTGTTTTGCTTCGCATGACATAAAATTCCAAGGCTTTCATATCTGAACCTATTTTTGCGAAATTATTGTTGAACTCAACTTAGTTATTTAACAAATAAGTTGGATTTCTGTTTAAACGATTTACAGCAATCAATGTTTCTAGCACTTTCGTAGATGAAAGCTGAGTTTTGAGATGCGTGTTCACGAGCTATCGTGAAACTTGCCTAAAAACTGCTACTCCTCATTAAGATAAAATTTTTCTCAACCCTACTCAAATATGGAGTATTGGATGTTGTTCGATGCCTATAAGTTGGCATTTATTTATATTTAGTGTCCAAACATTTCGTTCTTCGATCGATGTGTTCATCAAAATGTATTGTAATTTGATTGTTCAATGATGAGATGGAGGATCTTAGATAATCCCACGATTGACCTGTTAACCATATGACTATGAATCAATCGTTCACTGCAAAATTGACCAGCTTGATGCAACTGATATGGTTGATGCTAACTGTTTCACGTGACCACAGTGGGTGGAAAATTACTCACTCAAAATGAATTCAGTTCCTCTCAATATGAAAATAAAATTGTTGAATACAAGAACCAAGCTTGATAACAAGCAGTACTGTACCTGTGCAGAAAGTACAAACGTGATGGACAACAGAGTCGGTAGCAGCATATCGAGGCAATGTCTAAAACGGTCCACTCAGCTCGAGCACCGTGCACTTTTGCAATTGTCCTCTGCAGATACATCACGCATAAACAATGTATTGCTCTTCTGGTTATTATATATTACGCACATACATACATATTCAGAGATAATATATTGAATACATGATATATTTTTAATATTTCGTTTTTCACAACGAAATAGTGTAGGTTTTAGTTTAGCATGTGACATTCGCCTGAGTACGTATTTGTCAATTATGCGGATTTTATTTACTCGATGACAATATCATTGCTCAAATAATAAGTAAAATTAGGATGCCACCAGTAGAGAAAGTCTTGCATAACTACAGTTCATTCAAAGCCAACCAAACACTCTCAAAGCAGCCCGGCCATTTGAGCATTATTGCCTAATTTCCGTCATTTGCAACACAGCGTTGATGAGGACTAATTATCAACTGGATGAAAAATATGTAAATTCAGATCGAAAATAAAAAAACATCCCAAAATCTTTTTTCTTGCTACTAGCCAAGAGCAGTTGAGAGCAGTGCGTTTATAAAAGGAGCGAGTGATGTACAGTATGAACTGCCACATCTCCTTATTTAATGTCTTTGCCGTAATACTTTTTCGGCACCAAGTTCTACAACAATTTCAACTGCAAACCAAAAGTCCATGCCACAGAAACCAGTAATGCGAAAAAAACGTCGTTAACAATCGAAAAAAAAGTCGCAAAGTTAAACAAAGTTAATTCTAATGTAAATTAAGCAGTATCATTTGATCAACGTATGATGCTTACATTTAATACCACTTCATCAGCTCATTACTCTACTCAAATTAGCAAAGCTGACGTAAAACTTGTAAGATGTGTTATCCCAATTCATTCGCATCATCAAATCATCATCCATCCATTATAGAGCATTAACTATGTTGCGAATAACATCATTAGGAAGAGCTGCATCACTCGTTGGATTCAACCACTGTATAATAATAAAATGTCATTATTTACCATCATCACCACTAATCATTTATCTGCTTAATGCTATTATTTTGACAACTTCTCTTCCTATCTAATTTGCGTCAATCAGGTGTTTATAATCAACTAAGTGATGCATACATGAGGCTTGTACAGATATACTCAATATGTATGTTATGTGTACACGATGAAATGGACATAATATGCATAAATCTATGGGTTAAATGAACATATCTATACGCTTATAGTACGATCTTTTGTTGAGAATATGATGACGAATGAGTTGATGACTAAATATGAAAAGCTGATTATAGTTCTCGAATGTCCCTCTGTAAACTAGCTGATAGACTATGAATTCTGCTTCAGAAGTTCCGTAAAGCTTTCAACGAGCCAATTGTGCTGACACCCTTATCATCGGCTTCTAAATAGAGCATACATCCCTCATTGCAATGTATCTAGTGAATACATACAATCTTTTCTCATTCCTGTGGTCGGATTTAAGGTCTTCATTGACGCCTACTTGTTACTGATAGTATTTTGTTGCAGAATTTGGATTGCAACGAACTAAGTAATGATAATTTCTTATAGGCGTTGATTGAAACTCCATGGTAGTATCTCAGTTCTCGAACTTCTCGACCTTTATTTCATCTCTCTAATTTTGTGTAGTGAGGGAAAGAATCCTACTGCTCCAAGTACAGTGGCAAGTCAGCGTCAACGAACAATTTATGGTCAGTTGAAAGGCTAGCCTAATGAAGAGGATTGCAATAGTGATTATCTACGTTGCCGTGCTATCATACTGAGCTCGGTTACTGATGAAACCAGTGAAGAAGCCCTCAACTCTAAGCATTCAATTCCTCTGAACTTACCCATTTGGAAACTTCGATCCGCATAGTGTATCGTCAATATCACGTTCACTGCTAATGATTTCTCAAATAAAGGATTCGGTAAGCAATTCGGAACTATGAAAGGCATATAAATTATCACTGATAGATCAGTATTTGTGTTACACAACAATATCAATTAGACACTAATAAAATATCCACTCCTTACACCATAAAAAAATGCAGGAGAATGGAAAGTAGCAGTGAAGGGTAATTCGTTGACTAGTTGACAGCGACAACAGGCAATCACTCGCATCCTCTTGGCTTTATATGGAGGAAAATGAGGTGGGCGGTCATATTCATTGAACTGAACCGATGAAGTGATCAAGAAAGGATGAGAAAAATGAACTAATCATTCCATTGATCAGTTCAGCTTCGATGCGCTTTTCATTTTAACTCGTAAATGTGATCAGCTTTCCATTCTCTTCTAAATAGAATGGTTTATCTTTTTCAGTTACATCAAATGACGACATGTTGCATTCGTTAATGTTGCATTCCCAGCAGGATTAATTAATGTATACATTAATGGGATCAAATAAGTCTCTCATCTGAAATTGTAAATGCATCCAGCAAATGACTCGTCTGGTTTCACTCAGCTAATCAATGCATGAAAGAACTCGCTAATTACTGTAATCCGGACCAGAGAAGTACATTTTGAAAACAGCTCACTTTTCCATTTGAGCACCGTTCAATTCTTAGTCTAAGCTTCAGTTATTCAAGATCAAACTTTATGAAATTTTAATGAATTTATAAATACGAAATTTATGATTGAAAAAAACCATTTGAAAACCTTCCATTTCTTAGTCTAAGCCTTATAAATTTGCGAAAAAAATCTGGTATTTTATAAAAATTTATAGAATATGAATAAATGTGAAATTTCTCGATGTTAGAATGATAAAACTGAGTAAGTGAGATACATCAGTAAGTGAGAGGAAATGATTTTAGCATCAATACTGAGTTTGAATTAGGTTCAGATGATCACAGTGGAGTTTTAGAAGAGCAAAAAGAGAGTTGAATGTTTGAACAAAGTGATAAACAGGCTGAATTCTTCGTTGATCCGTTTTCTTTATTAAAGGATATCACCATTTCTGATCAGCTGCAAGTTTCCGAACTCATGTAATAACCGACGGCGAAGGATATTCATATATTCGAGCGGCATCCATATCGGTATCTCATTTGGACTTCTTGATGATAGACGATATCTCATTTTTATGATTACGTTTGATACTTCTTATCGAAACAGGATGGCAGTAGAGATGAATAAATCGTGCGAAAACAGGAAATGATGTGTGCGAAATATTTGTGTTTAGATAGTATGAATTAAATGCAAAAATAAGGTAGCTGAACGAAATGGTACAGTGAACAAAACAAAATCATGTCTCGACACTACAAACTTCTAGAGTTTATGATTCGTAGCTTCAGGTCACTTGGTTGCTCGATAGGGTTGTGCTACTTGATGATATTATTCTGATATAGCATTTCCTTCACTATCAGACAATTGTCCTTCACTGCGATGCCATTTGCGCACATCCAGAATATATCACTTCAATCATGCCTAGTAAGTACGCTATCTTGCTTACATTCTGTTGTATTTTGGCTACTTGACGAATCTGATCCTAAATAATTGGAACAATAATCATACTGATTAAAACGGTCATGAATAATGTTGAAAAAAGGAAGAGGTTATGCAAATAGTTATCACTTGTCATAGCAAATGTCTGAGAAACACTGCTCTGCTTTAACATCTCTGGACTTGGGTCAGCCGCAAGATGCGAGAATTCCGAAGAATATGGTCACACACCTCTACATCTCCCTTCTAGTCACAATAAAGTGGCAAGGACAGTAAAGAAGTTCAAACTGTGGTGGAAGAAACTCATGGATGCTCGTTTACTAGCAGATATTTTAACTGAAGTGAGGAGCGAAAATCGGAGTCCATTTTTATTTTTTAGCACAAACATTCCCAATTTGTTTCTGTGAATTTACGAATCCCAATTTCCTAAACTAATAGCATGGGTTTATATTAGACGAAGGATGCATGATGGAAGTGGAACTGTAGATGAGTAACTAGCATGAATAAAAGTATCGCCATTCTGTCATGTATTTGACATTTTCTGAAGTGTTGGCATTGAACTATGAGCGATCTATCTTTGATTCATGTTCATCATGACAAATTTTGTACCATCTGATAGACGCTCGTTGGCGTGAGACTCTGCAAGTTTCATGACGTTGACTGGAGCATTTTTTTAAAGCTCCTTTCGTTCACATATCGTCAAGCCGCTTGCAATATCACGCCGAAGTGATCTCTGAAAAAAGTTCACGACGATCGTCAAACTAAGAATGATTGCTGTGATAGAGCTTTTCATGCACTTCAAAACCTATCCATTCGATTTTCTGAACAAGATTTCCATCGTATCGTAAGCGCGCCTTATTTCCATCGTAAACGCGCAACTGTCACTAAATTTCATGAATATTCTCACTTAGGCGAATTGATCTCCGAAAAAAAGTTCACGACGATGATCTTCAGATTGAGAACGGTTTCTGATGAGCCTTTTCACACGCTCCAACATTTACCATACTGCGTATGATTTATCATGAGATTTGATCTGGAACACCTCAGAGACTTCGATTGCTCGATAAGGCTTCAATCGCACCAATTGTTCATCACTAGGCTTTGCAAAATCCCGACGATTTTTCAATCCGGGGATCGATTTTTGATCCCGGGATAACCCCGGGATCAGACAATTATTGAACTATCGATGCGGGACAAGTTTAAACACATTTGTTCATGATTAATCAGAAAGAAGCTAAATCAACAAATTATTGAAAAAATCCAAGGAACTAAGTATTCAAATTCAAATTAATATTTCATATAATGATGCCAATGATCATGCCGCAAGGGCATACTGCATATTCTGTGCTAAGACATCTTGTCATCTCGGGTCTAATTGTAAGCTAATAATAGTACACTTGCATGCGAACATGAAATTCTTGATTCTTAAACACTTATTTGCAATGCTTCAAGTCCATTTTCTCGCAGTATTAACGTCAGCTGAATTCTGCCGTTTCGAAAATTTCGATTTTTTACTAAAGAATTGCACCGCATGAATTATATAATTTGAATTTCGAAATAATTAAAAGTTCGAAGTTTATCTAAAAAGGCAAAAAAATATCCGCAATGGATTTTCATCGCACCATCGAGCGCTTACATATTTGATAATTTCGATCAAAAATCATGCTAATGTACTTAATATTGAACCTTAAGATCCTTCTGAATGGAACAACTTTGCTCACTTCGGCAATGAACTCTCACAATGAGTGAATTCACTTTTCCCCGCCATATTTCGCCTCCGCTTTGTGTTTCGCAAAAATTTTTTACATATTCATGATCAGCTCGAAAAGCCCTACAATCTGATGTATATTTCATCACGAAAGGCCAGATTAAGTTTGTGACCTTTCCTAGTCAGTTATAATTTATGTACATTTCGATCGGATGAAAACGTTTCCAAATAGCGATGTAAAAAGACTTGCAATCTTTGGAACATGCAGTTGAATTAACAGATGGAATATTGAAGCCGAACAAATCTTGTGGGAGGAAACGACTCAAAACTTCATTGAACTTTGTTGCTCTTGGTTTTTAATAGAAAGTGTGATTATCTCTGTTAGTCTATTACATAGAAATGCATGCAGATGAGCGTGATATAAACCAATGAAGAGCAGAATAATCAGTTGAGTATTTAATGAAATGTTACGTAAAAGTTCATCGAGCTGTCGTTGATCATGTCATTCGTCCGAATTGCGTCTATTTCCTTAGCTGAACATCAATGATAGGGGGCAAACAGCAGAGATAACTACATATAAATTAGATGGGAATGATTAAGGCTCGCTTCAAGATGGGCATACTATCAAAATTCACACAAATTGACCTGTTTTATCAAATCCCGAAATCACGGGATTTTTCAAAAATTAAATCCCGGGATCTGGATCAGAACTGCAATACCGGGATCCCGGGATCTCGGGATCCCGTGCAAACCCTATTCATCACTGCTCTCTCTCTATCGTAACCATATTCGTTCAAATGTCTGTTACGTGCTCTCTTCTTTTCCGAGAGGAGTGAAAACCGCTGCTGCGCACTGTTCGCTCTTTGCTTTGATGCACGCCCATTGTCTAACTGAGACAATGCCCTCTCAACCAGCTTAATTGGGGATTAATAAAGCATTTTGCTTGCTTGTTGTTGTTGTCCATTCATACTTCATGACCGACGAATTGGGAATTGCTTCCGTGCAAATGTCTGATTTGCAAGTGTTCCATTCGATTCGCGAGTGATATCAGTTGTCCATTTTACTATTGAAATTTTTCGAAAATTTCCCGCCCTTTGATTTCGTTGTATCAAGAAATAGATACGAAACGATTTGTTAACACTAATGTTATGCAGATGAATTGTTTTTCGAAATTGTTTGATATTTTCAGCCGACGTTTTTCTCGTAATGAATTCATTCCAAACGAAATTGAATTTACCACCAATGAATTTGCCATTCACATAAGATAAATGATTGATTTTCACAAATGTATGCACACATAATACTGCGTCTGAGAACCGTATCGTTCACCTGTAAATTAGATTCCATTCGTAAGCATGTGATTCGTTTTTAGTAATGTTTGTACGGGCGAGAAGCATATTCGAAGAGTTGAGTAAATATGTGATGTGCGGTGGGAAAGTGGATGATTCACAGTCAAAACAATTACTCGATCTTCTGTCCAATAACAGCTCGTTGCTCACTAATATCCTCAAAAATGCGGTTTGCTTATATTTATAGTGCCGTTTTTTTTTCTGAATTTGTTGTCCATTTCAATGGTCTACTGGAACAAGTAGATGTTTCACATGCACATCTCATTGATGACCAATGCATATCACAAGTAAACTATTACCACAAACATTCAAATGCATTACTAAAACGAAAAATCTTGCGGTACACAACTGACCGATTGTTGCAAACGCAGTAATATTTTCGAAGACAACCGTTTGAAGGGTAAATCAGCGGCACATCGCGCCGAGCTGGAGCCGAACAAAATTGTCAATCTTCCAAGTGGACAGTCGGTACAGGTTGATGCTGATGTGAGGAACGAAGCGCTCATTATATCGGATATTTTCAATTGTGATGAATTGGACGCATTGGAGCTGATTTCGACCGGTAACGTTATTATCATAATCTACACTACTGTTCCAGTTTTTGTTTGCAACGCTATGATTTGATGTTTTTAAAATTCTTCTGTCAACAGTTGAATTGTGAGTAAAAAATAACTTTTTTTTATACTCCCGTTCCAATGTCAACTTTCACTTTCAGCATTCTTTTCAAGTTGATGTTATTAAGCTTTTCTTCCCGACTAATCACCCAATTGAAGTAGGAGTGCAACCAAATCATTCATTTCCTCTCCCTATCTGCCAGTATTTAGTAATCGCATTGAAGACTGTTTAAAAGACCAAAAGCAATGATGATCAGGGAATGTTGAATGTGAGCACGTAGGTTTTATGAGCAACGCCATCAAATAGTCTTTGCTCATTAGAAAACATCTCACACGAAATTTTGGGCAAAAATATTACATGCAAAGGTCGTATCCAGCACTCGGAGTTTTAGTATGGTGACGATCGCTAATTGTTGTATATTATTAGTCAACAAAACTCAAAATGGCCCACTAGAATTCAGATTCATCCACTGACCGACTCTTCTGTCGAGTTCATCTCGTTTTGCTGACCAGCAGGCGATATCCTTGGGTTTAGAAACCATTCTGTGAGATATCTCTTCGTCGTTACCGTCTAAAAGATTCATTTCGCCCATTCACTCACCTTATCGGTAATGGTAAATGCTGGCTGACTTGGAATGCAATCATCATGATCCTTTTGAGATTTATTTCCAGCAATATTTCATATTAATTATTCATTTCTTTCAGGTGAATCACACAGCCATAAATTGGGTAATTGGGCTCGAGGACTGTGTGCAGTTGTTTACTATTACGACACTCATCGTGTTCTTAGTGCAGTGACGAAGGTTCATTTTTCTATTTTGAATACCTTACTTTGCCTTCGTTCACAACCAATTACACTTGCTTTCTCAATAAATTTTTGAATGCTATCACTTATAATTTGAATGATTCCTTTCGAGCGTTACACTTTTCATGGAGAGCAATGAACAAGATAGATCTATTGTATTTTGTCGTTGAGGTGCTCATTGAGATGAAATATAGCAATGGAGTGCATATAACACCCGCAATGTCAACGTTTCTAACACAGTTCTGTACAAATCCAGCTCTCGCTAAACGTCTAATCGGTTTCTTGATTTTGTTTTCTTTGATTATTTCATTTCACCAAAATTTTTCGCAATGAATTTTCCTAAAATGCCCTTATTTTTGGTAATTCGTTTCATTTGAACCATGCTCAAATGGAAATAATTTGAGATGTTTGACCCTTCTCCATAATACTTCAAAGTTCAGTGCTATGTTCGGGTACTTGACATAAAGAATGGTTCTGAAATTGAATCCCATGGACCTTTTGAAATCCACTTACTCATTTCTAAAAGCAGTGTTGTGATATTATTTGGTGATTACACCTTCAGAAGTTGCACAAATGAGTGTCGCATATGAAATGCAAATGCTGCATCGACCAAACGTGAATGGTCTTGGTTCGTTGAAACATCAGGAACTTGTAAGTTATGGAATTTGTGCTTATTCTTCATTGTATTTGATATTCGGTTATTACCATCAACCCTTATTTGTACTCAAAACATTAGTGTCATTCATTTATAAAAGTTATAAATTTCCAGTTGCGTCAATTAATTGAAGAGACAATATCAAATTGTCGTTCTTCATTATATCTGCTGTGTTCATCGTGGAGCAATGGATCGGTACCGCCGTTCCTTGTTGACTTGCTGAATCCTCTCCGAGAACTGAGACCAACGTCATCGTTTACAGATGCGCATTTATGCGCTTGGACTGCTTTACTCATGCTTATTCCACCACAGAACACACGTAACGGTAATCACTGTCACTGTAATAGTTGGCGTTTTAATGATTCATTTGCTGAAAAGCAATCGTATAAAATATGGAATTTCCATTGATATGTTACTTTCTTGAATAAATTTATATTTTCCCAATTTATGTTGAGTGAACTTCAGCGGTATTTCGTAGGGATGTTGATAAATAGTTACTCTAATTTAACCTAATGTCTGATCTATCATATCGGATTTGAATGAACGAAATGGTATATCTCAGTCATTGTCTTGAACAGTTGAAAATACCTCTGAAGTTATCTCTAATTTTAAAAGTCAAGCATTCACTTTTGTTAATTTTGAGTTTAATCGATTGTGGACTATCCAAATTACATGATTCAAGCCGAGTAAGAATACATCGCTTATAGTACATAATAATAATGGATTTCAGCAACATCATCAGTCGTTATATTAAGCGCTCTTCAAAAAGAATTCAAAGGTGCATGGTCAGATTTATGCTTACTTTCTTCGTTACAATTGGCTTGTGTTGTTTCGTGTGCTTGGGTCAACGCGAATTGTTCACTCTCGCAAGGTTTGTCACTGTTCTGAATATTTCAACGGTTTTGCTTTTTAATCAGCGAGTCTTGTTTTTAGTGGATGTGATCAATTTATTACAATCTGTTTGAAGGCGATGAATACCGATTACCTGATGAAGATGAACTGTCAAAACAATTAAAAAAGGCTCTGAATGCAATGGCATTACCGTTTTTACGCTGCAGTATCATTAAAGCTCCTGGTTTTCGAGACGACCCCACCACTTTTCGTGTTCTCGATACCATCGTGAAACTTCTCATCGTACATTTTTCGGATAAAGTTAGTTACTTTGCTTATTTTTTCAATTTCCCTCATGGTTATTGTTCGTTCAGTTTTGCATTAGGTCAAGTACAGGTAAGCCTCAGAACGATATAATGTGTGATTGACGAAGTCCGTGTTAGCAGTAAATTTTGTAGTGTTTTCTCATGATTTCACAATGCGATAAAATGGTCGTTTGTATAAAGCTTACTGTTTCTTTTAAAATTATATTGAGTTTACACAAATAACAAGTGATGTGACCGTTAAAAGTGTTAAATAAGTTAAGGTATTTGCAACCGTCTGATGAGCTTATGATCTGATGAAAAGCAAATAGAGTATCACATGTTAAACTAGGGATTGTATTGCAGTTGGTTATGCTACGACGTGCTTGTGAAGATGAGTTGGCAGGCATGGAGGTAACGTTGACGCGTGGTATACTACCTGATTCACCGTTACATTTCGAAAAGTTTCTTAGACTCATTGCTGATTTGTACGATAATGATTCGCCGTTTACTGCGACTGCCGCTTCACAGTTCTTATCGATCGAAAATGTTAGTGCACATGAGACGTCAGCTTTTCATTTTTCTATTTATCTAAATATAATTTCAACTGTTTATGTGTATACGTATTTTTTTACGCTCAATGAACAAAATTATTTCATGAGAGGAATGTTTTTCTCCTTTTCAAGGTTTGTTTTTGAAATTAGAATTCGTCGTAAAGAAATTTTGATAACTTTTCGTTTCAGCCAGCGCTAAGTAAGTTTTTACGAGGTTGTAAGGAAATAATATCACCAGTGTTGCAAATCACTTGCCTGGACATGTTAAAGAATTTGTGTAGAGGTCGAGAGATGGCCAGCTTTATATTCAGAATTATGTGCACTTCTCACAGAGGTTAGATTGCTGATTGCATTTGTTTGCTCGTTTCTTGCCGTTTTCGATGATTTATTTTAGTACTTCGATGATGCGCGATCAATTGTGATGAACTGCAGTTTTCTTAATTAAATGTCGATCAAATGTAATTTTAAGGAACATCTGATATGATGTCGTTCAACCATTTCTGCTGGGCAATACGTGGTTATTTGGAAACGTTCAAACGACAGAAGCTCTCATCAGAGGGTGGAGCATTCAAGAAGAAATTTGAAATGGATCAGCAACTTGTACAAGAAGAAGTGGCTGGACTCATTGCATGGACCCAACTAGCTGCTGCTGTTGCACTTCATGTATGTATATTTCGTAACGTACTGCAGTGTGGCGTGTAGAGTTTACTTCTTGTATCTACAATTGATGCCTCTAAATCTTTTGGGGATTTGGTTTGCAGTTTAGTCGTGTGTGTCTCATGAAACTATCATGTTTTAGGACCCTTACGCAAGTCGTCAGTTTGCATCCGATAGTATGCTTTTGGTGAACGGAATGATTGGTATGTTAGCCACATCGATACCGTTAGTGGTCAAAGGAGCCTTCTATCGTTTTCTAGCCGTTCTAGCTCGAGATGGCATGGTTGCCGAGAAAATTTGGGTTCTTCTCAAGAATTATTCTGTGCTTAGTGTTGCATCCGATGGCAAGCTTTTGGGCATTCAAGTGACTATTTGTTAATTTGTTTATATTCTTCATTGTCATTTCGAACTGTTTGCATATTATAAACCAATTCTTTTTGTCTTTCAGCAAGAACTGGAAGAACGTGAATGTTCGTTGAGAAAATACGACTCAACTTTAGGCTTTCTTCATCTTTTGAGAGCGTTAATGCTACATCCAGTGAAAACTTTCGACGACGGTCACGTTTTACCTTACATACGATTCGTCACCAAGTCCATCATCTCTCAGTTTCTTTATCGTTCATACGAAAACGAAGAGCAGATGGTAAGCTTTCTATAAACTTCATGACTGGCCTTTGCTAAAGCTAAGCATTTAAATTTTTTGTGGAAATACTATCAGGTTTTGTCAAAAACCAGGCAGAAAATTTGTGGATTTTATTATGTTTCTTATATTTTTACACTTTTTGGCTTAACATGTTCTAAATCATGACGCGATTTGAAGTTCTGCGATTGAGATATTTGATTAATTCGATGATCGATAATCATGAAAAGCGTGAGTTATCATTGCAGTGGGAGTTGTGCATGGTTTCATGTGATGCACTCTGTAATTTGCTGAAATATTACGTCGTGACGGATGCCTCTCTGCTGAATGCACACCCTCAAGTAGTTGTTCTCACTCAGCTCCTCTCTAAATCACCAGTTTTTCGTTCGGTAATCGGTTTTTCATTGAATTTTTATCGCTTTCCTAATTGGTGCAATTTAATTTATGCACTTCATTGCTACAAAATAATTTCCTTTTGTTTTTTGCTCGTATCAGAATGAGTAGCTCTCAAATTATGATAAGTCATCCGGAAAAATTAACCAGTACTCAAATTGATGTTTCATAAGGTTTACATTTTAGCACGAGGAGTATAATCGAGGAAATATTTTCATTGATAATTTCAGTTGTTTTTAATGTTGAAAAGCTTTGTGCAAATTTCAGATAGCAGCTGTGCTGGTGAGGGGATCGATTCAATTCGAAAATTATGTGGCACACCGATATGAACCACTAGAGGCATGCTGCTTATCGGTATTACGATTGTTGTATACGTGTGCATCACAACATGCCATTTTGAGTGAGGCGATTCGTTCAAGTAAATCAAACGTGATCATCGCATCACTCGATTCACTCTTACTCGACAGATTATCCGCTGATTCCGAAGGCACTTATATGGCTGCAATTGCATCGTTTATTATGCAGGTTGATCATATTGCGACTATCAATAGTGACTCACTCTTAATGCTTGATAACTATATGCAGATATTGCTGGTTTTTCGTGGAATATAGATCAGTGATCGCTCATATTTATTGTTTTAGAGGAAATGAGTGATTTTTTTAAAATTTATTCAGAGCGAGCATCTGCCATTGCACTCTTTTTGGGCGGCAAAAATCTTACGAGAACTGTCCGCTTCACGACCAACTCTACAAACCGAAATCACGTATTGTTTGATGCCACTGGGAAATTGTTTCATAGAGGAGTGCGCGAAGATAACATCACCTGGAATGAAATCTTTGAACGTTTCAACACTCGACGCACCAGTGCTTTACGGTTAGTAAATTGCTTTTTCGATATTTTTTTGCAAAAATTAGCTTCAACGTTCTTTGTCAACCAACAACGCAAAGTTGGAAATATTTGAAATCGGTTTTGTTTTTCCGCTGTTTTCAGACATTATCGTATGGTGTTCTTATTGAGTTGCCTAAACAATTCGTAAGTATGTTCAGATATTGAGACGTTACCGGTGTCGCGCATTCACGGTGAAATTGCGCGAATTCTAATCGAAATTTGTACAACATCGATTGAAATGGATCCTAACAATGCAAATTTGGGTTATTTCCTCTGTGGTTTCAATATGACTAATCTGCTTGGCACTCGACTCGAAAATCCGGGTACATTGCCTTTCCGTCGTTCTATCCATCGGTTTTTTTTTGCCTTTCCGTTTCAAATGCTCATCTGTCAATCAGTTTTGATCGACTCGTAGCAGAATTGTTCAGAAATCACTTGAATTCAACCTCGTTTGTTGTCCAAAGCATCTATCCTTCACCCGTTGTTGAAGTTTCGGTAATACTGCTCAGTGGATTGTTTTTAACAAATCGTAAAACCGATCCATTAGCATAATCATATTGCAAGCTTATGAGGGTGAGTGATTGGTAGTTTAAAGGAATAAATGGAACAACGCGCACTTGTCTACACAGTGTCGTTGATGCGCTTCAAATGCTCATCAGCACTGAACGGCCGTATAATCTTTCCTATTCTGCTCTCTTCGAACCTATGCTACGATTCTTGGTTAGTTGTGCACTTTTTTGTTCAAGATTCCATTTAGCTAAAAGATAACTGATTTGTTCCTGTCGAAGAAGGGCTGGAAGAAGTGACCACAATTGCAAGGATGCATCACCACTCTTTATCTTCATAATCATGAGCTAGCAATTTTTTTTGATTGAATATGCGTGAAAATTTTCATACGCACTTTGACAATTTAATAAAGTAAAAAGAGAACCCTGAATGCGTGAATTCAATTGAACACTTTGAATTGTATAACCGATATTGCAGTTACGATTAGTGTCAGCAAATGAGTCGTATGGTGAATTGGTATTGCGTTTCTTGCGATCCAACAACGATCTGATGTTCAGTTTACTTGCATGCGATGCTGTCAGCTCATGTGATCTTTCGACAAATGATGAAGAAGAGAGTATTGTTATGAATAACACAAAACGAATGATCCAAGGATACGTGCTTCATTTAAATGCCATCGAGTTACATTCTCTACTTAAAATTCGTCATTACAGGTGTTCCGTTTTCTTCTATGAACGCTTAATTCTACTTCTATCATTTCAGTCCGTATTGAAAAATGGAAAATGAAAAAATTGTCTTGTTTCGTGGATGAGATTGGTTGAATGAGTGATGTTGCAGTCAACCGGCACGTTTATATAGCTTGTTGCTGTCACGATCAAACGTCGATGGAACAGCGCAACAAGAAATCACGTCGGATGCGAGCAATGGTCATACTAGATCTGATCAAGTTCAACGACGATTAACTTCGTCTCCAGTTGATTCGGAAACTGTTGTGCCATTAGTGCAACCACAGTCTTTATCATCAATTGAGCCAGTCGTTAGCAATTATCTATTGAACTCTCGAACTTCATCAAGCTCTGCCCAACTAACAGCCTCGTCGACTTCGATCACCGACTTTACTGAATGTGATCCTACAGATATTGCACAACCTTCTTGTCCGCCAATAAATGTCGACAAAAGTGGTCAGTGTAAAGATGCGATATTTGAACACTTCTTTTGTTAGACAACATATCAATTTGGTATTATTTGACTGAACATTTTCAAAAATTCTTACTGTTTCTTCACGATAGGTACTGAATTTTTTTAAAGAGTTAATGAACAGAAATGATAGATTGTTCACTTAATAGAATTATTCTAAATTTACTGATATTACTTGCTGGTTCTGGTTTTGGAATAGTTGCTGGGTTTTTTTTTTTGAATATGGATTGTTTTCCCGAAAGGATTAGTGCAACCACAGTTTTGATCAATATAAAAGCTTTGTGAGAAGTTCTCGGAATGAGTTGGGAGTGAAACGTAAATAAATTGCAAGCGATAAGTCAATTGATCCAACCATCGACACGTTGTAGATGAATTACTTCTGTGGAGATTTCTGCGATTGGTTAAAGTAGACGTCAACCTGCCAGAGAAACCACAGCTGGAAATGTTCAATTCGGAAAAGCTTGACAGCGTAAGTTAAACATATTTGTCATGTTTACCAACAATGTAGCAGCTTTTTCTAGTGCTATCCTGAAATGTTCTGTGGAAATTCAAGTTCACAAGAAAAATGCCAAAAAAATTCAACTGTCAGGTCATTTTCTCATCGTCTGTTTTAACTGGCGGAGCCAGGGATATGCTAGGGTGCATGAAATTCAAATGGAATAAGTGACAAGCACAGGCTACTTCATTCAGATAGCATCGTTGTGCGATCGAGTGACAGCATCAGATGTGTTGCAATGTGACATTGAAAGAATGCATTGGTTGCTGCAGCGAGAAGCGTTATCGGTAATTGGCGAGATGCAACAGGAAGGCATTGATACCATCGCTCAGGTTCGTTTCTTTTGCGCAATCGTCAATGTTGACGTTCCATTTCAAGTGTTCCAATAATATCGTTACACCACCCTGATTGATACCCACACAAATGTTTATCTGCATATTTGGGAACGTTCCGACTGCTTGGGAAAGTATGCATTGCAGACGGTTTGTTTACCACAGGAATTGACTTACGACAATCTTCCACAAGAAGGAAACACATTGAGAAAGAAAACAAAGTCGTTACCATTCTTAAAATTTCATCGACTTGTAAAGGTCTTATTGATAGGGTTGTGTTTTGATAGCGTCAATGATATTATTCTGTTTGGAATATTTTTTTGTTTACTTAGGAAGTGCACGAAATCCTTCGTTATTGTGTCGCCTATAATCTGCTACGAGGTGCGAGCGCCTCTTCATTACAGCTCCTTTCTGGTTGGCTTTCTATCGTGAACGTAATGGCTGCATTCGTTCCTGTTCCATTCATCGCTATGGGTATGTGATTGCAAATATGTAAACATGAATCTCGCATTTCTTTGCTAGTTGACCTTCTTAAGTATTCGATAATAATGCTCTGACTCGGTGAATTGCTGAGTTTTTTTAATGTGATGATCTGCGCATTAGAGAAGGCAATTTTTTTGGAACATATTTGCTTCACCCTGTGTAGTTTCGTTTTTTTCAATCCAAAATTTCTGAATTGATCACCCACCTACTATTGGAAACACACATAGCATGTGAAGTAAGCATTACAAACAGTGGCTCTGTTTAGAGACATTTGTGGTAGGAATATGTAGAATATTAAATAAGTTACTATGTACTGATCAATTTCAAATTGATTATTGCTGTCGATCTCAGGCGAACATGCTGATTTGATGAGTGATGCATTGCGCTTATTATTGGTAGAGTATGGAACTGGAAACGAAACTAATGCACATGTTTCGATGACTATGTCACGGTGTATGTGCAGGTAAGCAAATGAATTGTTTTTGAAGATGTTTGTGAAATGATAAATTTGATCGATTAGTTGAGTTTGCATTCAATGGAGCATCAAGACGATCACCATTCATTGTGAACATTTGTTCATAATTGATACACCCTAAAAATTTTGATTCGAAATGCTTTATTCGATAATTCATCTTCAAAACTCTCCAACGGTAGTCATGTTTTAGATTGACAAATGCAGCATGCTATTTGTATGAGAAGTCATCTCGAGACAAACGTTCATTGAGACATTCTGTAGCACAAATGCTGGTTGAAATGATCCGTTGTGTCATTCGTCCAGGTACATTCAGATGTTCATATTGTATTTCAACGTTTATCCTTTGCAGTTGTTATCTCATTTTTGAATCGCTTGCTAGTGTGCAAATTGCATCACAATCTTGAAGCATCTGCAATGATTTGTAGTCGACCACCCACACATGCGTGAAGTATTTATTCCATTTTAAGTGACATTGTGCGGTTTAAGAGTAGCAGCAAGCGTTTCTGAACAGAACAATGTAAAGATATGAGTATAGGGAGCGATGCTGAGGCCGTTTTTAGCAGTGTGAAATATTTTGTGAGCTTATTCAGTATTGGTACTATTCAGGAAGCCTTCCGTATCAAAATAGGCGCAACATATACTTGTGTATTCTTCGTCTGTTGACTTCTGTTGCAAAGAGTTCGTCTTCAAAAGAAGATACGTCTGGACATGGGCAAGAGAACTCTTTCGATATGCTGGAAATTGATGAACCTAGAGCTGATCCAATCAGAGCGGTTGTTAATTTATATGCTTACGAATTGGTGAAGTTGGTCAAGGACGATTTGTGTTGCTCATCTTTCGATCTCAAGGTATGTGTGCTAAACTTTTCGATTGAGAACAACCAATGTAATGATGCTAGAATGCACGCAAACGATTGCAAAATGTTGGCAGAATAAATTGATGCGCAACAAGAGTCTATTAAAGTGTCATGATGACAGCACCATTGGGCATACCAGATTGACATTCCAGCGTTAAACTTTTATGCACTGTTCAAGAAAGAGACACTTTTTAACGCATTCTTCTCATCTTCACACGGAAAGATAACTGAAGTGCCATTTCCCAATAAATCTTGCTAAGAACTCCTTTGAGCCAAGAGTTATGATGAGACGAGATGGTATGCAAGATTCGTTTGTAACAACCGTTCATCTCTCATTTATTTACTCGCGTTATAATTCGCGGTGGTCGTCCACCGTATGTTTCAACAATTAAATCATTGACATCATCCCTTGATGTGAAAGGTTTTTGAATGATGAGTGCATCAGGACTTGGTATGTGACGATGTCTTTGTAGCATCGGTAGTTCTCCAGGTATTGTCTGCGTATCAGCATCGATATACGCATGCTCTTTTCGAATTGCTCCTATCAGCGGACATTTATCCTGGAAATTTTTTTGTTAACAGCGAAATCCTCATTCATCGTTCATTTCGCAAATAATTGGTGACTTCTTTCGGGTTTTCTTTTGAATTTAGTTGGTTGCGATTGATTTTGAGGGTATTTGTTGTTGAAAAGGAGTGAATTTGAGCATTGAAGAAATCTTCGTAAAATAATGAGTGTGAATGGGAGGAATGAATGCAGTAAAAGCACTGATGAATACACAAAGTCTGAATTGAGAAAGAAAAGAATGAGTAGTAACGAACATCGGTTTGTAACACTCCAAGTGTCACATAATGATTAAGTGGGCAATCGGAGATATTGTTCAATTCATCATCGTAGCTATCAAAACTTGCAATATCAATGTTTGCGGTTGTTTGTCGTGACGAGTGCGTTGGCAGTCGCATGTAGAGACGTCCCGGTAGCCAATACACTCTGCTGAAGCAGCAAACAAATATGTAGATATGACATACTGATACAGCAAAACAAATGTGAAAGTGAGCAGATCGTAAATTATACTCATTCACATTCAAATTTACTCAAAAAGATCTGTGGACGTACTGGCACAATTTTGAATCATTAAAGTGATTAGAGATGAACCGGTCTGATGATTCAAATCTGAGATCATATTATGCGCTGTGTTAATGAACAAAACAAGTAGGTGGTAGTATTTATTCATATAGCTGCATGCTACCATCTGTTCATTAACATGGCGCTTATACGGTCTTAACCCTAATGTTCGTTTATCTTTGATCATTGGAAATATGCGCCTACTTAACAAGGATTACGTTATGTTTCACAAGAGTGATCAGCAAAATCAAATCACGGTTTAAAATCATTAATGCCAAATGTAAAGTTTGTTACCAACCTGAATTTGGTGTGCATAAGGTTAATGAAGAGTGAAACGATCGAAAGACCTACCAATAAGTATGCGAAGAGTGATAAAAGTAGAAAAGGATTCTCTGAAGTGAAATGATCGTTATGAATGATGATTTGCTAGGTGTGTATTCATTTTTCAATAACAGTTGTAATCTTATACTCAAGAATTGCTCAGAGGAATTCGGAAAGTTATTCAAGGCATGAACTGGATTGATATTTTATCAACGTCAGAGCAAGTTTAATTTTGAGGTTGTTTGGCGTTGAAATACAAATATAAATTTTCGCGTTTATCACAGTAACACATCTGTTCCAGCGATAAGTAATGATAAGGTAATAGTGATATATTTGATGGTGCCATAGAATACCTCCGGGATCCACGTCTCCCACACCGATAGTGGTTAGCGAATTGAATATGAAATAGAACGCTAGGGATGATTCCACTTGTGGAAGATGTATGTGAACGATGATACATCCTACGGTTGTCCATCCTATTAAAGCCATTATTGCGACCACCACTGGGATGTCTAACAGTCGATCCATAGTATTTAACCTGAATATGCTTCTCTTGTCTTTCAATGAACTATATTTAAATGTAGTAATTGAAACTTAAGACACTGATATTTTGTTCACATAATGCGTTTTTCTAATTGGTTTCTACTTTCGTCTAACCAAAATGTAATTTGAAGTCTTGAGTGAACGATTGGTTGACTGCTCAAACTTTATGGAATGTTTCTGATCATTCGAAATAATTACAAATACAGCATTTTGAATGAAGTATAATTTATGGCAACTAAGTCATACCTGAAGTCAGATCTCGGCTCAGCCTTCTCGCCATGAATACGTCGCAGTAATTCGGTTTCATCAACTGGTTGTAGAGTGCAGTAACGAAATAAATGCCAAAGATATGCTGAAATTCAGAATGTTCTCGGTCTTCTTATGCCAGTGCATCTGATTCTAATTCGTGAATGTTTGGCTTACCGAGAAGTACGCATGGGTAGTTGAGTATCTTGGCGAGTAGATAGGCGAGATCTTTGATTATGAGTATTGTGAAAGGAATGCCAAAAAGTGCGCAACAAATGGACAGATATCGTCCAGCTCTCGTTACCGGGTAGATGTATCCGTAACCAATCGTTGTTATTGTTGAACATACCTGCAGTTGTGTTTCTAGTTATTCTTGAACGCTTCTCGCTTCTATTTCATTGTATATGTCTTTATCGAAAAACCATTCAATTTCGAATGTTCAGGCAGTATTCTCGCTATGTATCACTTACGAAAAGAAGTGAATTTGTAAATGTGCAAGGCAGTGTTGGCATTGGTGGTCGTATCTTCAATTTTTTTTCATAATGAGTAAGCTTCTCGTTCACAACGCCCATCAAATATTGTGATTTATCGTCGTGAATGAAAACCAATAGTCTGGTGTTGTTGAAAATCTGTGGAAGGAGATCTTCGGTAATGAACCTGAAAAGTATGTTCATTGCGTGAAATTTGAGTCACAGCTGCTTAACGATCATAAGTATGAGTTTCAATAGTTTTGTTGTAACATTCATCATTTTCATGTGTTCTTTTTATGTCAAACGTATTGATCAGTTTGGTTGTTGAAATAAGCTTTTCAGACACGATTTTTTTCGTCTGACAAATAATGTTACCAGAACCGTCTCTCAGTGCAAGAAGTGATTCTTCAACAAAGTGTCCTTCTTAAGTCATATCTGGTTTATTCCTTGTGAGTGCGTTAGTAAAGTGGTCATTTCAGGAAGGATGATCCGAAAAAGTTTCATTGCATAGTAGTGTGGTAAATATTAGCACTAATCTCGGCAATCTCTCATGCAGAAATGCACTTAAAATGTTCAATATGAACTGAGTTCCTTATTTCTGACTTATTCACAGTCAACTGAGCGAATCGAATAGGGCAAACACTGCCACAAAATTTAAGCCTGATTAACTTTGAACTATCGTTCATGTTCACCGATAATTCAGTAAGACAACAGTGTTCTTTGCATATAGTCTGAAAATGAGAGAATTACCGTGATCAAACGAACCGATTGCGTTGATCAGACAGCTTGTGTTGCCATTGATTGCGTACGCTGTTAGAATATGTTGATTCAATAATAAAGAAAATTGATGCTGAGAATAGCAAAAATCCAATATAACAGCTGAAGAGAATGATGTGTCCAAGTCCATATTTGTGATAAATGCGTTTCGCTGTTCGAATCAAATGTACCGCATATTCATTCGATATGCACATCTGAAACAGCAGTACATATCTTTAGATTCAGCACATTCCGCTCACTCGTTGAATTATGATTATATCAGCATTTCTTTTTTTTACTAATCATATCCTATTAAGCTTAGCAGTACATGTGGTTTGAATTAAAAAAGCACTACAAACAGGAAGGAAATTGCCGAATGCTATTTGATAACTGAAGCCAAAATAGAAAGTAATACTCAGGTGTTCAAACGAATTCACGTCCAGTGTGATCTCTGGGAAACAGTTGGTCTCGATAGTTGTTGGGTTAATTGAACGTTCTGATTGAATGAGGACATGAACGTTCGATGATTACATTGAATCGTTCAAACTTTGGAGCTTAATAAGCTGAATATGTCATTCTCGAGGCCAATAGATGAAAGTGGAGGTTGTTGAGCCGAAGACGATGGCTGCAAACAAATGCGCTAGATAGGCGTGTCATCGTGAAAGATCATCTCCCATGGGGAATCGATCACAACTTTTGGTGCTGTCGTGCAATCAATTTTCTTACGACAACCGTTTTCACGAATCTTCCTGATCCATATATATATTCACGCTTCATCCGCTTATTCCCCCCGGTTATCTCTGAAGAAACTGAAAGGAACGATAGAATTAACAACGAGAAAGCCAAACACTTGATATGATAGTGGTGAGAATATTGCTGATGGATTTGTACATTTTTCTATTGTTTGTTTGCGTAAACCAACACCAACGGATATCACAGCAAAGGGTGGTGGGTAAAGAAAATAATTGCGTTTACGAGCTAATTGGCGACCGTTTCAACAGTTGAATTTGTGTTTCGCTCTTGAGGCCATATGAAAGGTTTATTTTTTTAATGACCGATGATCATTGCATTCAGCAAGATAAGGAGGAAATCAAGCGTTGTGTTTAGTGTGATCAAACATACAAAAGCGTCTTCGATTTTCCCCGTAAAGTGATCCAGCGAATCGTCAGTAAGCAAAAACCGATAAACTTGCGATGACATTGAAGAGGAAGGAATAAAATATGAATTTCATCAGTTTTGTTCATGAGTTTATTAGATGTTCATCTTTCGAATAGAGCAGTCATTAATCAATACAGATCAAATATAGGATCGAATGTGATGGTAAAATTGTTTTTTACAGGTTATGTCATTGCTATGTGTTGCTCGTTTGCTACGCGAAGATTTGTTAGGATCGCAGACTTTAGCACACTTGTTTTTGCGTAATGGTCTTTTACGTTGTGTGCTTGAATCCATCACTAAAACTTGCGTTTCTGGTACTCAAAAGACTACTGAAATACGCTTCTTGGAGCATCTGAAAGCTGTTCTTGTAAGTGTTTGTCATTCCCACATTATTATTCTTATGATTATCTTTCGTTCTTGTCAGCCAATAGTGCTGAATTAGTTCATGCGATTTGATCCTGCCGATGTCTCGGACTTTTTTCCTTCACTAAAATGATATTTCAGTGAAATGCTGAATTCATTTCTGCGTAAAAGACCGGTTTTGCAGATATTATTCATACCGTTAGCAATCTGTGAAAGTGGTTGGAAAGGGTTGTTCGAAGAACATGGACTAGAGATATTGGCCGCACTTCCGCATTGGAAAACTCCACCGAAACAAATTTTCATCGATGGGAAAGGGTTCGTTGAGAGAACTTTATTTCAAACTGTATGATGTCTCATCAAAGTGGTGATGTTATGTTGTTGACGTTTTTTCTGAAACGATGCACCACGTTTTACTTCAGAGATTGCACTCACTTTATACATGTCATATTCATTCAGTCACTGTCAGTTGCTTGCATTCAATATTTTGACATGTTATTATCAGATGAAGCTCAACATTTTTATGGCTGGACGTTCAGATAAACTTAACGCATCCATTTCTTTGCATCTGTCACATATGTAAATATTTGCAAAATTGATTAGATGTTGGTAGCGATGGTTAGTGTGTGTGTGAATGTGTACTGCAGAAATGTTCATTGAAATAAGAAGCAAATCGCTCATATGGGAAGTTCAGATGAGATATTTTATGGAAGCAAACCTCAGTGGGAATTTCATGACTCTTGTATCTTAAACATGTCGGCCGGTCTTTATGAAACAAAACCATAGCTTTACCAGTGGTTTTGTTTATTATTGTGATGAGTGACCAAAAAAATCGAAATATGCTTATGATGCAGTCAGTTTTCTGCTACATAGATCACATACGTGAAGTTTATTACTTGAATTTATTCATTCGAAAAGTGCTTTTTCAAATACTCGAATGCAGTTTGAGTATTTTGAAGACAGATCGTATGTTAAGGTATTCACCGAATTTGGAAGTATTTGTCCCATATCACTAGTTTTAAATAGTGAAATAATTTTAGCAAAGTATTCTTGGAACTGTTTAAAATTGCTTGATCAAATTGCGTCTCACCAAGAGAAATTTGTGCGTGAGGATTCTGCAAACGTGCAGATGCAATGAATGATAGATATTCCGCGATTCATTTGCTGTTTCATTTACAGAAACGATCCTATCGCTGAACTCTTTTTGGAAGTTGTTCAATTGAAAATCGAACTGTGTCTTGCAGTCTGTGCGAATTCACGTTGGCGCTGCATCTGTGATAAGGTGAGTCGATCGCTTACCGGATTTTATGGTGCTCTTTCGAAATCTGATTTCAAATTCATCGTCTATTTCCAGGCATTATGTCTGGTATCGTGTAGCACAGAACTGCTGAGTCATTTGATGCGAAGCGATCCGTATTGCTCACTGATCCAAACTTGCGCTATGTTTATCTCCCGTGTTTATGAAGCTGGTTGGTTTTTTGATAATGTATTATTATTCAGTGCTCAATTGCCACTTCACGTAATTGTTTCTCTTTTTCGTTCACATATTGGCGCATTGAATTCTGAATTGAATAATTAGCGTTTTAATGGCGGAATCGTTTTTAGACTGCGACTCATTCTTGAAAATAGTTCACTGAAATTGAGGATTCGTCTTCGATGAAATTCACTTCAAACTGTGCTGCCAACAGTGAATTATGTCTCAATGTTTGACTTTTAATTGTGAAATTTTTGTTAAGCCTTCTTGTTTTAAAACTAATGTTGCACTGCAGAAGAACAATCGAGAGATTTCATTCGAAGATCAACCTGTCTTGATGCGATTCGTTCAGTACCGCTTGACAAAACATTGGTCGATCAGCAGTCTTCGTGCAAAACTGTTCAACCATCTTTCAACACTCCTCGCAGACTTTTTAACACCGAACCAGATTGCGCTTAGAGAAGATGCAATATTTACTGAAACGATCTTATATTATTAAAACCATCGTTCTTTTCACACTTTTCCTATCACTTGTGCCTGTGGTGTTCTCAGTTGAAACGATAAATATCTGGTTCAACAAAGACGCCGTTGTTGAAGATTAATCGTAATGTTTCTTACAGCTGTACCCCTGATCTTCATCGAGAATGGTTGTTAACAGTGAATTTATTGCGCATCACAGTCTGGTTATAAATTGTGTGTATGAGTATTTCTATTCTGATATATTCTGGAATCAGTCATAAATTGAACGATTGATGCAGTTCTTGGAGTGTTTCATGGTTGCTCGTTCATTTCATTTTTTTCTTTGCTTTTGATCTCGACTATCAATTTCTATTTGTTTTCTTCATAATTATTGGCATTCGTGTCTTGTATTGACTGTTGCATCTGAGAAAGAGAATCTTATGTATGACACAGCGTACTCGAATTTGTCCTCTCTCTACTATATATGATCGTTGACTAAAATTATTCGAAATACGTCGATCTTTGGATTATGTCATGTGGTATATCTTCTGTTATTCCTTGAGTGATCTTGTGATGCTCCAGATTTAGAGGTTCTGTCCGTATGAATGATATTTGTATTTGGATTATTTTTCCATCAAGCCATCTCCAGTCTTCAGATAGTTATTATTATGTCCAATGACGTAAAATTCAATCACTCGAAGGCAACGAAGATTACTTGGGCACATCGGGAAAAACTGTTTTTGCTGATTGCTTTCGCTTAAAATTTTGAACTTTCAAGTTTTTTATGGACGAAATTTTACTGTTGTTAACGTACATTTTTGCTGATGTGTTGGTATTTATATTTATTGTTTATACATGCATTGTTTAATTTGAGTGTTTGTTTGCATTGATAAAGTTTGATGATCGCGTACTGAATGAACTGAAGTGTTCCACTGATAGATGAAATATTTTATAGGTTGAAATTTGATTGAGTAAAGTATGATCGAATTTCGCTGATTTTCATTCGTTCACATCCACTCAGATCGTATCACTGATGTGATTTCGCATACAGCTATGCACGTGCATATGGTCGGAACGCAAAGAGACTTGGTGGTATTCTGTTTTACAAATCTAGGGTTAATAGGCAAACTTTAGGATGATGTTTATAATGCTCTACCATCCATGTATTGCCGTCAGCACTACAAAATTAGATCTGTCATCATTTATTAGCGTAATCAAACTGTTTAGTTTCATGTCCTTCGTCACGCTTTTGGTTGGTTGATTGTTGATGATAAGAACAACGCTGATCTGTACTCGAATTGTTCAAATTCTATTCTTAATCAGGTACAAAAACTGCACACTCAAGAAAAGACCTCTGAACGCTTCAACAAACTAAACGTAATGCGCTAATCAGTTTTTCATAGTGATCTGGAACGGTCTACTTTCTGGATTTACAATTTTGATTTTGTCGGTGAATTTGTGCAAAAGTTGTGAGCGGCCGACGATGTGTGATTAGTTGAATGAGTGTTTAATTTAGCATTAGTGAAAAGGAAATACAATAATTTCGGGTGACTGCCATCCAGTGAATTTGATTCTTGTTGTTCAGTCGTATTACGTCGATTAATTTTTCGCGCACTGAATTGCTCAGGCCAGCATAACACCAATCAAATGAATCACAAGTATCATTGTGAAAATTAGATAGTTCAGTTGACTATCATTTGAATGCGTATATATAACACATTCGAATGGTGGTAGTGACTCGGATTAGAAGAAAAGATAATGAGGGTGGTCAGTTGAATGTGCGCTCGAAAGAGTCGTTCTTTGAGGCTGGTGGTATCGAGATTGCTTATCTCACTCATTTGTATCATCTATCTTCACGTCGGCAATTCAGCAGTTCTCTTGGGAACGTTTCGAGTGGGCAATACGTGCAACTGTGTTCACACGACAAATTCACTCTCCCACGAGAATAACACCGATAACAACAACATATTCAGTAGCACATACACTGTTTGCCATCTGCTTGATCCTTATTGGTTCAGCTGAATGGTCAGTGCTGTTTAGCGGTCAGTGGTCATTTTTACAGATTTGTGTTCCAATACATAGTAGTTCATTGCTTTTAGGTTGATGTATACTGATGCTCATATGTTCATAATGATTCGCGTGTCACAAGACGATTATTTTTTGTGTTTCATTATAGCAAGTTAAGTACTTGAAACGATGCTGGAAAAACGAATTGTAAGATGAAACCAAAAACATTTCAACCAAAATCGAACTTTATAAACCTAATGAATTTGTGCATAGTTTGATGTGAACGGAGGACATCGTAAGTGATGAAATCAATCGTGTTTCTTGTTTGTTAAGCGAATTTCGAAACTGATGTGTGTCGTGAGTGTTTATCAAATATTTCGATGAGGTGACACCAACCCATCGATTCCGATTCGCATCATTTTTGTCGTTGTTATTTTCAGAAGGTTACTGCATAATTTAGTTAATCGTTGTTCATCGCTGAACATATCCATGCCGTCGTCACAAAATACAATAACGGTAATTATTTCTCAAAATTTTAAATCAAAATAAATATCACAACTTTCATGAAGTTCCATGTGCACTGCCTGTGAAATACTACCAATGGTGATATTACGATTCATAACTGAGCAATAGCCGTGCATTATTTTTTGAACTGATAAGTGTTGTGTTGACAGTTGTGAAGCGTGACAGCTTCATGTGCACCAGTTGGACGATTTCACTGTGATGAGATTATTCTATGTTAGGGAGCATTTCAGGCTCAATTCTGCTGGGGTCAATTGAAAATAGTAGCGCCTGTATACACTGTTTACGAAAGCTTTCGAGCATTTTGTCGATTGTGGCTGCCAGTCGAGTTCTTATTTTCGATTGAACGCTTGGATTTTCAATCTATTCGTTCCTGTGGAATGAATTAATTCCACCTGCGAAAATTTGAGAACAGTGGAGAAAGCGATTGAAATGCATTCTTCATTCCCACTTTGACTAATATGGATATTTGTTGTTTATCGTTTTGACTGGGAAGCGAACAACAGTTATTTTGAATGTTTTGCTTAATGCATGCAAGTAACCGGAACAATCGTTGAAATCTTATTCATCACAAGTGAAGTTCAGTCGTTGTAATCTTCAGATAATCTTCCACTTCGAGCCCAAAACTTTATGAATACTCATTTTCGAACATACTAATAAGTGACTTTTTCTAACGTTGTGAACGTTTGCATTTCTCATATATTCGTCACCAAATATGGTAGTAAATTATATGGCTGTTCAATGGTTCTGAATCTGAACTCAAGCAACGATTGTAATTCAGTTATAAAACGTTTCTGAAGTCCTCAGAAACAGATAAATGGGAATAAAAATTACGGTGAATGGAAACCGTAAAGTAAGATCCTACCTTCAATTTGAAAAAGAAACAGTTCCATCAACGCAGTGTTCGAAACCTGCTGGCAGATCTGCTAGCAGTCTTTTTTCATTTCTTGTGATGCACCTTCAATTTTCTGGTAATGTGCCCGAATAGAAGGATTGATAGTTAAAGGGTATCGGGAGCTATTCTTGTGTACGCTTTCCCAGGCACATGAGATGAGGAAGTAGAATTTTACCTTTTTTTTTCAAAATATTCTAAAAAGAAGGTTCTGGTGTTATAAATGCGCGTAAGTCATGGATGAATTATGAATATGAGTGGTTTTTTGATAGTCGATTTCAAGTTAGGTACACTTGGGAGCGTTATTGAGGTATAAGAAAAGAGAAAGATAAAATGCAGAGTTTTTGAGACATTGACAAATAGAACGGAAAAATTTATAAATGCTCTTAACGTAGTTGCATAAAGTTATCAGTTGAATGCTTCACACAGCATTCAAATTATTGACGGAACGAAAAATTGGATAATCAAATCGTGCGGTTATAAAAATAAAAGTTGTTTCATCGTTTGGCATGCATAATGTCAAGAATTATGTGGTAATAGGTTGGATGCGAGTGGTTGATAGATTAGGCTCTGGTCAAGCGTTCGTTCGTTGTTGTTGACAGCGATACAATGCTAATTAGATGGGTAAGGGTTGTTGTGGTGACATGATGACTGGATACACACTATAGAGAGTACAACGAGCAGTGATTAGCACCTCGATTGGATTCAGTAATTGGCTCATATAACGACGTTCTAATCAAACCGTTGTTGTTGTTATTACTAAATCATGACGACGATCTATATGAAGAGAGTTGAATTGAAGCATGCAAGCCAGCAGCAGTAACGTCTAGGCATAAGCGCTAGATCGCCATTCTATTCAACTTGTCTTCTCATTTCAGTGGGAGCGTACTAGTGCCCCACAATCCGTGCAAAACACGGATACAATGCAGCACTCTCGTGCGGACATATCGATCTGGAGCGCAGACGCGGCTTCCACGATGAGCAAACCGGCCGCGTCGCAGTTCTGCTGTGAGTGCCCAACGACACAGAACCGATGCTCCGTCGACTCGTGTCCTTGCTTTGCTGCTCGTCGCATGTGCGATGAACACTGTGAATCTGCAAGGTAATTCATTCCTTATAATTGTGTGAAACTGTCACGTCTAAGTTGATCACCGTTCCGTTGTTCAGTTTCTGTTTGCACACAATTAGAAGTCTATTTGTGTTCACAGTCTTCTTCAGTCATGCACATTCTGTACGTCCGTGTAACCTCAACATCTCTGATTTTTCCTCCCATAAATTAGTCAAATATACCTCCAAGCCTAATGTTGCTTATATTGCATTTCATCATATGCTTTCAAAAATGCTTTTTGAACGCATCTCACATCGATCATCCTCCCCCCCCCCCCCCCCCGCCCTTTTGGCTACGAAACAATTGCATTTCAGCGGATTTGAGTAATGACTGGTCCAGTGACTTTTGGTGAATGAGCCAACGCAAATCTGAAAACTACTGCAATAAACTGCTGCTGCAATTGAGGCGTGAATTTAAAACTAACGGGAGTGCCAACTAACAAACACTCTCGTAGTTATTGTTATGAAACTCGAACAATCACTCAGAATTAGACAATTAGGACTTTGACCTAAGAGAAAGTCCTCTCAAAAACTCTTCCACATCAAATTACTGTGATATTTTCCGAGAGCATAGTCAACACAATTTAGTTCATTTCCTGCATTCTAAAGTCTACTGGGTATTAAAAACATCTACATACAAACATCTCGTACATGCGACCACGTAACTCTTCACAGTCGAATTTCATATTTCCTGATTGCTAGTGAAACTTGTTCTTTTATTACTGAATGATTATTGATCATCATTTATTCCAACAGTAAGTATGAAATATCTCTGTAATGATGATTTCCTTGCTGATATTATAACACACTGGAAGCATACATTTGCAGTCATGTTAGATATTCTATAATGCCACACGCTAATCTATTGAACGATATATGGGAGATATATGCATATGGTCATTGCAAGAGTGATTTATTACATAATACGTCGCATGAAATTATCTAGTTTGATCTTGATACAATTGAAACACGGGCTGATTCCTGTGGATTTGTGAATGACTAACTCTGTTTAAAACATCTCATTAATATGTTTCACATTATATGATGTAGTGCTTTGGGGAACCTTGCGCATAAAACCACCTAATATAAGGGCATTTAATTATCACATGAAAGCAATGACCGAATCATTCTTTTGGATAACTTCTCTGATCGTGAATGCGATTCATCGAACAAGGCTGGTAGGTCATCACTAGACCTAACCACATGTCTACGCACTACCAAGAGCTGCTTGATGAGGAGAATGTTCCAAAACGATGTATTTTAAAATCAGATTCAAACGAGCATTGCTTCAAGGTATCGTGGCGACTGTCTTAATCAAGCGATTTGCAAATGTTCATGCGAGGTTGACCCAGCGAAACCTGCCAAGAATGCGTGCTCAAAATCTGAACGTTGCGATTGCCTTCGTATCAAGGAGTCATGCAGTAAATTATGCGCATGTCGACAAATATGCAAAAACAAGGAACCAGAAAAGAAATTGCTCAAAGTGGGTTTCATCTTCTTGATTCGCTTGTTTTCTTATCATCACTTCACAAAGCGTCATCGTTCAACGTCAGAGCTCTAGTTGGTCAAAATTGAGAGTATGAAGCTAATAAACAGCTGAAGGTGCCAGTGGGTTCCGAACTAGTGATCAAAATTTCCAAAAACTTCATTTTTAAAGCAATGGTATGATTTTTCTGAAAGCAATAATACTGTACAGAAACTTATACAGGTTAAGAAACCAGCGCAAGCCTGTCAATGTGCCAAAAGTAAGAAGCAATGCGTTAAAAAGGAATGTCCTTGTCGAAGTATGTATGAGTTTTGCAGCAGCAGGTATGTGAACTTCAGGAACTTTTTCTCATATTCTTTTAAGTGACTACTTTAAAAGATACAAGAAACAAACGACACATTAAGAATGCTCGGTGCATTCGTTCATTTATCTGTGGATTTTTTTCAGCTGCAAATGCTCAGGTGACTGCACAAACGGTGCATCGAAATTTCATATTCCAAAACATGTACAAAGCTGTTTTTTGGAGCAGAAGCATGAGAGTAGTGGTCTGATAGTGACTTTGATTGGTGAAGATTACATCTATCGAGGTGATTTCTACCATGAGAGTAAAAGCGAACCGCACGTTGAGGAACAGCTTGTAGCGGCCATTTATGATCTGATTTCAAAATATAAGGTTTGTTCGTTAAACATACTGCACTCAGTCAATCTCGCTCGCCTGGCAGTACCGTCACGTCTTGAGTGGAATAAATTCTTTTCGATCTAATTTTTCAGCACTTCCGACTTATCCTTTAAATGAATGGTTTCATCAGTAAATTGCCAGAAGGATAGGCCTTATTCTAATTCAATGAGTTTATGCTCGAATGCTGGTGCGAAGATTTTAGTGCATCCCATTTTCATTTGTATGGTTTGCACTTAGGATGAGAGCCTTGAAGTGTACTTTATGAACGCACTGAAGAGTTACGTTTATGCAGGCGATGAATGCAATTAAGCAGATTGTTATTGTTATCGTCTTTGTTGTAACTTTATTACTACTGCTGTTGTTATTATTGTTTATTATTTTTTAAAATTATTATTATAATACCACTATTGTTTGTGGTTGTCAGTAGTTATCCTTAGTGCTTGAATTACCATGCCATTAGTAACAACCATTGTGATATGAATGTATTGATAATAACAGTAAAGATTATTTCCTATCATCTTTATCATTAATGTTGTAATTAACTCAACATTAATAATCTACCAACAAAAAAGTGGACCTGATTATCATTATTGTTATGATAACAACCATTTTTACATCTTCCATAAATGAAATTAATTGAACTTGAGGTGGACTTGTATGAGATGATAATATACGTGTCGAAGAGTCCTTGTTTCCATCAAGACTGCGATCCGAAATGTGAGGTGGTCGACGAATGCAAAAGCAATAAAGCATGTGCTAAACTACTCGGTCTTCTGTTATCGAAAGTTCGTAAAGAATTGAGTAAAGTTGACGTGAAAATGACTGTCAAGTTCTTATATCCACATTTGAATCGTGGTGATTTATACACGAAACAAGGAATCCTCTGCATGTTACAAGCTGGAATAAAGGTGGGTTACAAGCTGTTCTATCAATTCCTAACCAAGAACGGTGTCATTTGTTATTGACTCGATACGAAGATTTCAGCACACTTAATAGCGCACATTGATAAGGATTTCGTATACTGCACACTGTTAAGATTATGAATTTTGAAATTTCAGGTTGAACCATTATTGATGAAGGATTGGTCGGCTGTTATGGATTGGTCACCGCATTCTGATCACAAAGGAGAATATCTACAGGTTTATTAAAACATCGATTTTTTGCTGAATTATTCGTTCTTATTTTCTGTTCATGATGAGTATTTTTCAAAATCGTTTTCCAGTATTAGCTCGTCTTGCAGTGGAACATTAGGACTGAACAGTTCATTTCTTACAAACGGTCAGAAAGTACTTAGGTGATGATGAACTTCGCTTCAATTCATGCAAAGTTGATTCTCTTATTTCTTATCTTTTCATGTTCAGTTATGGAGTAACCACAATCTCGACAAAGCAGTTGCTCAGTCACAGTCGTTTATAAATGAGTGTCGCCGTGCACTGGGTCTATCAATGAAGTTCTGGGTGGCTGAAATCCATGAAATTGTCAAGAATACAATTTTAAATTACTCAGAGATTCGTGTTAAATGTGGTGAACTAAATGACGCGCTCATGCAGGTTTGTGCAAATCACCTCAAATTGATTCATCGGATAGAGTAATTTTCCTGAGTTTACATCGAATTTGTGAGTGTTTCCAATGTTACAGCCAGAATTTCCATCGTATTATTGTTATTTATTATTATTATTAATTATTATTATTATTATCGTTTTTCAAGTGTTTTCTCGTACTCACATTTCTCGATCAGAATGGAGACGAGTTTATATCAAACAAAGTCCAAATGTTTTTGAAAAGTTATCAATCAAAATTTTGCTCATTCAAAAATTCGGTATCATTTAAGCTGGATCTCACGGCTACTCCACATAAAATCCGTTCAACTCCAAGCAAACGTCGAAGTTTTATTGATATGATTGAACTGAGGGACAAATTGTTGTTGAGGCATTCAAATGATTCGAACAAAGGCAAAAACGGGAGCAATGTGTCAGTGGCAAGGTATTTAAATTTCATTATGAACTACTAATGGTTATACAACGTCAATACAGTGTATAGAAAATTTAGAACCAATTTTTTGAAAACGTTCTAAAGAAGCCGAAAATTTCGCTAGACAAATTTTCGAGTTTTCTTGAATTTTATGAACGAATCAAATTCATTCAATTCGCACCACCACTATTTTCTGTGCTATACAAATGCCCGTTGACAGCATTCGGCGCCTATTACTTTGACAAAATGAAACTGAATAGGGGAGAATGGGGATGATGTGTAAGAGATTCATTGCATGATTTTAGCGATGACGCTCATGCACAGGCAATGGTTGCCTCGTTTTGTGGACGTTCATTTGACGATGGTGAAACGAATGAAATTGCGCAACGAATACGTCGTGCAACAGCGAACATCAATGTCGAAATAGAAACGTTACTCGAATTTCTCACACATAAAGGAGCTGTTGGATGATTGAAAAATTTGCAGCTGATTTTTGTTTAATTTTTTAAAAAAATGATTGTATTGTTCCATTCGTTCATTCATGCGTACTCTAGTTTTCATTCAACAGTGACTAACAAATTCTATACTCTAGCGTTGTTGTTTCCATTGAAATTCTACGATTTTCGCCGTTAGCAATTTTGCTCTAAAAAGTCTGTATGCCTGTCTCACTGTGAGCAGACAGAGCAATTTGCTGTAATTGTTCAGGGGTGCAGAAATCATCAGAGCATATGTGGTGTACTTACTGGAACAAATTGAATTGTTTGCATGCATCGCATGTTTGCATTAGGCCACAACCAAACACTAATTTATTGTGTATTCACTGAAATGATTCATGCCCCATCATTAGGGTCAATCGTTACTGAATAATGTAAAGTTTCGTAAGACATTCAGCATAAATGGCAATGACAGCAGCGTACAATTTCAGTTGCTTGCTTCTGGTTGTACGCTCTTTTTAAATTAACAGTTTACTGTTCAGTATTTGAAGTGATTGCATTAAAACTATAAACAACCATCTGTTTTCACTTTCATCTGAAAGTGAGAAGCATTTTAAAATGGCACATGTGGAAAAAGAAAAGAGGCTTCAAGGAAGTTTATCATTTATTGTTTGCGTTTCGCTCGTATTGATGAAGATCTCTCAGTTGCTTGGCGCCTCATTCATCTGTCATACCTCTCGAATTTATCAATACTTAATTTATTTTATTTCTTGTTAAAGATTCCAATCGCACTGAGACATGTGCAAACTCATCTAAATGTGACTGTTGTTTTTTTTTTGAATTACTATTTTATTACACCTTTGTTTTGTTATTATCAGCGATCCTCAGTTCTTTTGGTAGTACAGGCTTATTCCATAGAAAATCTATGGATTGAGCAGGCATAAAGCAACCCAATGAAGGTACGAAATTCTATTGAGTCTACGCATATGACGTAATGTCTGTGAAAATCTCGAGAGTTGAACTTTTGCATCATTTCAGCTGCATCTTCATTGTGTTCCGTTTCATCATGAGCTTTTTTCGTATCTATGCGGATTGCCTCAGTATGTTCCATTTCGCACTTCCTTCTTTCTAGTTTACACCTCGATCTTTGCGGATTGCTGATTCGATCTGCTTTTTAAGCACTTCGTGCGTTTGAGCCCGCATTGCAACATCAAAAAGCAACGGGTTGAATGCATGCTGCCAATAAGATAAATTTTGTGTCGTCCGTTTATTCCGACCGCTCATAGTGAAGTTAGTTTGATTTCATTAATGATCCTTGCCACAACAACATTCATTCTATTGCTGGCTTTTGGTTTAATTTAGTGCTGATTCTTGATGTAAAGCCGATTTTTGCTTTGAATCTGCTGACCGAAAGTTCCGAAATTACTTATTTCTTATCATATTTGTTCAAAGATTCCCTTTCGTTGTGTTGTTTTATATGAAGGCGATAAGTTGATTTCTGGAAAATGTTCAACTATTCTGCTAGTTTGATTAAGGAACTGTGTTGAAGTTGCGAAAGATGTTGTCAGTAATAATTGTTGCAGGACATTTGCAGCGATAGCGCTGTGAGTGAGTATATCCATTTTTGCGTTAAAATTGTTCCATTATCGTTAATTCATGTGTAACGTCTTCTTACATGTACTACTATATGTACTCATGATGTCTGAAGTTTGTCTAATATTAGTGAAATACTAATTATTCAATGAATGAGTCTTTTTTTTGTGAATTTGTTTTATTCCAAATAAATGAACGTGTTCTGTACATCATGTCCCTACCATTCGAAACCGATACTCATCAGTGCGCTATGAAACAAATCAACCGTATCACTCTAGAGTAGAGAATTCTGTATGCAGTGAATCCTAGGCTTATGAACATCCCCGGCTAACGATCAATTCGGATTCTGACGGAAATCTCCAGCAGAAACTTATCCGATTCATGAAGAAAACTGTTCGATTTACAGTCACTTTCGATCGAATTAAAGCAAGTCTTCATCATGCTCTCGATCAAAAGAGGAAACAAGATAGGATTTTGATCGTTTCTTATAGTTGGTTGGCTTAGAGAACAATATTAATTTAGTATTTCAGTCAGTGGTGACGTTCGACGGAATGCGTTCTCTGATTTTCGATAATTCAAACGGTGTTATTTGGCTTTAATGAAAGAAGGCTGTATTCAAAAGAGGATATTCAAAATCTGCGCAAGAGTAATTTTAAAATAATTCGGAGCTGGTCGTGATCAGCGACCCCGTTCCATCAGAGGCGTCCTTGGTGAGCAAGGAATCATGACCTAGTTCCAATGGTATTTTCCAAAGATATTGAACGGTGACTGAAAAACAATTCTTCAAAGTAGTTTTCGGAATACCGTTAGAGAAGAAACTTTGATTCCATTTTAACATCCCATAATCAGTTTTCTGTCATGCTTTAGAGTCTGGGAGCTCAAAAAAATTTGTGAATATTCTATGTTGTCGATTAAAAAATTTCCTAGGAAGAATTGGATCGGTTGGGACGAACTAATTTTTTCCCGTTGATTACAGTGGAGAATAACGCTTTAATTTACGACCGATTCGGATCATGACCAAACTGTTGGAACGAATTACGGTCGTAAACTGAGGCTCCAGTATATTAGTTTCACCGGTTTGGCTCGGTGGAAAAGGATCCTCTGCGTATTATTTTGTATATTTGAATGACCACTTTCTGACTCGGGAAACGTCAAGCGTGGATAGAGATTGTTATTTGATTCGTTTAATCGTTCATCTTGCGCAGTGGTCACATTGACTGAGAACAAACCTGATCATTCAGTAATAGAATGGAATGGAAAAGATTAACGAATGAATTTAGTCGGTCATCCACACAATAAACTACTGAACATTATGTTACGACAGATATGCATGTGAACTGAACATACATATTCATTAACAATATATTCTACCTAATTTTATAATGACAGGGATAAGAGTTCAGGTATAACTACAGATTTGAACGTTAATCTGCTCGCACTCACACATATGAAAAATATCCTATGTGGAAGGAACGAGTTCTGTTTCAAAGCGCATAAGCTTTTGTTCATTCAGTCGTTAATGAGTTGAGAGCGTGAATGGATTGGTGTCATTCATTTGCAAATCATACTTTTTAAGTTCTCAACCTAATAATTGCTGTGGGTGGTCAAAAACATCAAAAGCTATAATGATTTATCGTCACCGTCTTACTGCATTTATTGTCAAGTGAACCGTAAACACTGTCAAAAAGCCGTGAGCATAACAACAGTAATAATCTTACTTAATAACTGGTTCGTTTCCATGAGGAATGAAGTGATCTGACGACTGCTGCAAACAGATCCTAACTCTTCTGAATCTTTGGACATCACAAGGAAACGATTCAGAATCTAGAGGGAACCAAAAAACCTAGTCGACAGTGTACGCTGCAATCGGAATGCTTGCAAAAAGTGATGAAATTTAATTAACTAATCTAATTATTGTATTATGTTTACAATTATCAATTATCTCCCAAGTCCTAGCAAGTTTTCATTGATTCCAGCAACAATGTAGCAATCGTTTACATGTATCCAAACGTAACCATTGATCTGAATTAATGAAAAGGAAACACGAAAAAGTGAGAAAGAAAGACGTGTTCATTATCTATTGACGATCGTTGATCACTTTCAGACCGAAAATCGGCATCCAGCGATCAATGTTTCTGACCCCAATTCTCAACAGTTCACTTGGTTTTTGATTGCTGATCGAAAACGTAGCCGAATGAATGTGATAAGAAAATTTGGGTAATTGGAACGTAACAAACGGAGATTGCATATTGCCAATGGAACGTAAACGATTGCATACCAGTTTACACTGCAAACGATTGATTCATTCGCTCGTTAATTCAGTGGCCTACAAGAGAGTTTCAAAAGTGTCATGCAACTACTTATTTCTTGAATGCAGTTATGCTCTACCGAATAATTCACCCTGAAAATCACTGCTGTGAAATAACGTTGACGAATGATGAAAGTTCGAGAAAACAAGTCATCATCTTGTTCATTCCAGTCATGCATTCCAGGCACACTGGAAGTGTTTCGAAATGAGAGGCTGCTTAATGTTTCATTCCATCTAAGCATTTCAAGCATAGAATACTAACAACTCGACTGTTACTCGTTCACGAAATCCGTAATACCAGTAACAGCCAATGACGAACTCGTAGTCGCCGGTAGTTGATTTAATTGTGGAACGAAACAAATAAGGAGCACATCGACCCAGAAATGCATTCGATAATATGGGCGTGACAAAGATCACCAAGCGAAGATCCATATAAAATGTCGTGATAAGATTCGTTGTGCAGTTGATGGGCCACCGATCCGTCAACATGGAACTGTGCAAGATGGAGAGTGAAGAGCAACGTCAAATGCGACGTGTCGCTTTTTTTGCTGTTGTCATCTCAACTGCTGCAGTGATCGCATCCGTTGTCACGCTTCCAATGCTTTACAGTTATGTGCAATCATTTCAAAGTCACCTAATCGTGGAAACAGATTTTTGCAAGGTTTGCTTTCTTTTCATTTATTACTCGCTTGTTTTCAATCAGAGTTATATCATTATTAGAAGTTGTTAGTGTCCTTCAAACGCAAGCAATTGCTATAAGCTGGAATTCTACTTGAGTTTCTAATTATGAATTTTTTGGCGATAATCGTACCCCCACCGAAACATGGATGATGATAAAGTATATCTTCCTTTTTCGGTTCATTCTGAGAAATATTCAAAGCAACTCACGACCACTTATTTTTTCCTCATTTACAAATACGAAAATAAGCTCGAAATCATGAAGTTACTGTAGTGATAATGAGTTGATGTTTATCTTTAATGACTATCTGTCTACCGTTTTTTGCGTCCACTCGGAACCAAGTGAAGGGTGATATTCTTTCACTAACTGTACTCGGTTTAGACACGATCAAGAGATATGTGGCAAGAAATGCATATTCTGAGCAGTGAGCCAAGAAACAAACGTGAAAGCGGTGCATGGTTATTCGGACATTTCATACCAGAGGGTGGATCTGGAGGTGGTGCAGGAGGCTACGGCCCTCCCGATGGAGTTGGCTACGGTAATGGACCTGTGGTCAACTCAGACGCGGGTCGACTTTGTTGCAGTTGTCAACAAGGACCGGTTGGACCACCAGGACCTCCAGGTGACGATGGACCAAATGGTATTGATGGTGATAATGGCAAAGATGGTGAGAATGGCAGAAATGGACAGGTGAGTACAATTTGAGCCACATGAAACAAAATTCATTCAAAATCAGAATCTGAAATGAAAGATCGCGATCACTAATTGAATTCATCGGCTCAATCTGCAACTCATTATTTCTTGAAAAAAATTAGAACCGAGCGTCGATAGAGGATCAGTTACCCGCAGACAAGTGATCACTTCACTTTTTTCATACTCCCATGAAATTACTGAGACCACGCAAATTGCGAAGATTTTCATTCTATACAGCAATACCACTTTGGTAACCTCGGTAATCATACCAACCATCATAGATAACGTACTCAATGAAAACTCGCTAGGTTTTCATTTAACGACTTTGAAGTTGCTGTTGCACACTGCAATTCAAAGCTGAAATATTGCTTGTCATTCTTTATTTTCTAAGAGATTTGATGCACTTATGCATCGCTTTAGATGCCATCATTTTTGATGTCTGATAAGCGATGAAGTAATTAACTTATGGAAACTTACGAGCGAAATTATCGAAAAATTTATAATTCAGTGAAATCGGCAATTATGAAGCGTTAATTTCAAGAAAATTCAGTTGTACATTTGTTCATAAAATATATATTTTCGGTATAATACTGATATAGAGTAATCTAATTTCTATTATTACTTCGAATTTCTAATTTCTATTATTACTTCCTAGCTAATTAAAAACTGAATTTAACGGTGGAATTGAACTTTACAGGTCCTCAATATGGCCATCGCTCCATCAGAACCGTGTATCATTTGCCCGCCAGGTCCACCTGGTCCGATTGGACAAATGGGACCTAAAGGGCCGCAAGGACCAAAAGGACGAAATGGCGAGAAAGGTGACGATGGTAAAAAAGGTGAATTAGGAATGGCCGGACCAACTGGACCACCAGGTCTTCCTGGACAAGTCGGACCTCCGGGAGCACCAGGCCAACCTGGTCACTTGATTCCCGTTGCTGGTCCTCCTGGTCCTGCTGGGCCAACAGGTGAGTGTCAATGAAACTACGTTTGTGTATTTCGTCGACATATTTAAGTGAATCTAAAAAAACGTAAGTTCGATAATTTTGTTTCGCGATTGAGAAAATTTGCGAGAAGCTGGCAATGTTTATAAATTGATTTGTTTTAGGATTGCCTGGACCACCTGGTGAAAGAGGAGTACCAGGAAAAGATGGTGAAAGTGAGCAAGGTCCAATTGGTCCTGACGGTGATGAAGGAGCTGCAGGTCCAGTTGGCGTCCCAGGTCCACATGGACTATCAGGGTTACCAGGTGAACCAGGAGAACCCGGCGGCTGTGATCACTGCCCCGAGCCGAGAACACCACCAGGATACTAGAAGAAAATAGATTCTCAATGTTACGATGATAATTTTGTATAGGTTCAAGAAAGCAGAAAAAAATGCATGTCTCATGTTTATCTTGCAATCTCTCAGGCTCTGTTGTGATCCAAAAACAGCGTTTCTCCTATCTTATATAATCGGATATTACTGAGATAGTAGTGTCTATTCATTGTCTCTGCTATAGCGATTTGAATTTTGGATATCCTATCATGATCGTGACATGTTTGTAAATGATATGATGACTTCTTTACCTCTTAATAACATTTTACATGGTCAATAAAAACTCTTTCAATGGGCTCCGGCTTTCATTTCGTTATGCTGAGGATTTGTGCTGGATTCATTTAATTAGAGTAACGTAAAACATGTAGATGTGATGGAAATAAAGATGTGATACGCACGAGTATGCTTATGTTCAGAAACTGTTCATTTCGAGATTTAATTTCTTTTCTGTTACTAATTCGCAACATATACTACGAGGACTTTTACAAGTGCTCAATCAGTCGGTTTATAAGCTACTAAGATACTTGAAAGCATGAACGAATATGCCGTAATCGGTTACACTCGTTTGCAGTATTTAATTTTCTATTCAAGAAGAAGACTGAAGGAAGATGTCAGCACTCATCCAATTAACAGAGTGGACAAGATCAGATCAGAGATGTCTCCTATAAATGCAGCAAGCCTTTCTCTCGACTAAGAATTTTCAGAAGAAAACGTTCATGTTGCCCAAATCGGCTAATCTCGATACAAATGCAGAAGAAAATCAATTTAGCAGAATTCATATCTTCATGCATTCGCTCCAAATATGATTGGAATTCTCACTCTCAATTCGCATGGTGTAGAGATCACTTCACAACCACATAATTTTTCTTTGAAACACTAACAACCATTGGTTCTTTTGATTCTTTGACACCATCAAATAAAAGCGATACTGGGCTGTTAGAAAAGAATGTATATTGTCGATTAAAAGTCCAGGGATTTATTTGTATTGCATCGCTGGGCAGACACCTCTTTTTGTGCATCTGATATAATTGGTATCTCTTATGACTGCAGGAACTTGAGTGAGTGCCGTCTTCAAGCAGTCCGTTTGTTCGACTTTTGTACGACTCAGTTCATGAAGATTCAAAGACACAGGAAAAGCTTAAATATTAGTCACAAGAAATCCTTATTGTTAGTTTCGGAGGAACAGATCTCACAGGCAGAATGTTGTTCGCATCTTCGACGATTTTTCATTTTTCTGGCCAATTGTTGGCTCGTGTTTGGAGAGTTCATCATTCAGTTTCGTGATATTTGCACAGAACAGAACACTACCTTACTAAAAATCATAAGATTGTCTGAATGGATCAGATGCATTGTGTAGTTTTTTCCCCTTCAAGGACACGCATGTTTGACTTTGGCCAACTGTACCATCATTTTTTGGAGATAGCGTTTTAATCTGACAAAAAATTGCAATTTTTGTGAATGAAGAATGCGTTTCGATGAGAGCCACACATGGAAACTCGCGATTTTCTGCACTGTATTTGAAACCGTTAGAAGTTTTAACGGTCATTCATTGTTATCGTCTGAGCACTTTGAGAGTGCAAGTGATATATTGTAATCAAATCAGGGTTAAACGTGTTCTCCCATCATAGGTTACATGCAGTGTCCATAGTCAATATAGTATCCTTACTATAAGTTGAATATCTGAGGCCACAATTCAATTAACAGAAAGCTTTTCACAAAATACAATTGCACTTCCAGTAAACTGAAAAAGTTTCTCAGTGATAATATGAAATGAAGATGCGAAATTGTTGATAAAGTCTAGATGTTCACGATAAAACCGAGCTGTATCGGTACAATTGTTTTGGTAGTTTCACTGACTTGGATGATCATACGCATCTCGAATAATAGACTCTAAACGTTCGAGAGAAATTCATCCAATACATCTAGTTTTGATAATGATTTCTTTCTAATACTGTAATTTCCAACGTTTTTTGAAGATTATTAACGAGTTTGTTGTGCCCGGGACCAATATAATTAATCGGCTTCGGTGTTTTGCTTCAATAAACTTCGCGTCAGTCAACCGAAGGTGCTCAAAAAAGATTTTGTACATTATCCCCGCGTGCCACAGTTGAAAGTGCGCAAACTGGGTAAGCTTTTAGAGGCAGCAAACCAGAACACAAATGAAACAAACAAGGATTGAATCAATTGCAAGGCCATGTGCAGTTAAATCGCGGTTTGCCAGGCTTTCGTTGAGTACAAGCAGTCAACAAAAAACTGAAATTGGTTGATCGATTGATTGTTATGAAAGTGTTGTACCCTGATTAGTAATTTGATTTGAATATACGCAGATGATTAATGTTGTTAGTTGGTAGCAAAGAGCTATTGATATTGAGCAGTGTGATATTTGTTGAAAGAGTCGTAAACGGCATTTTTTACGATGCCATATCAGTTGCATAAAACGCAAATGTTTGCTCAGTGAGCAGCGAATTTTGTCACTGTTGACATTATTTATCTCAATGATTTATTGCAATCAAGAGCGGACGGTTAATAACCATACTGATGAAAAAAGAATTTATATTGAGATCACGCTCTTTTTGATGAACTTATATGCAGCTAAAAATAACAAGCAATCGCAACGAAGCAATTGAACTGTGTTATTTTTGCTGACGTTTGCTTTTGTAATTATTACTTTTTAGTACTGGAGTCTTCGTTGGAAACATCGACATCATAACAATGACAATTTGTTTACAATATAACGAAAAATTGTGCAATGAAAGAATACATATACTTTTTGAAATCCTTTCAACAACAAAAAAAACAAAGCAACTTTACATGGTGCTTTTCAGTGTATTCGCAACAGCCAATCATGTCTAATGAGTGTGTTCAACAGACATGTGCTTATTAGCTGAGATCGCACTCAATCTTATTGAGCATTAGTATTGTTGGTGATATGATTTGATATTATACATATAAATATAAGCGATTGTATACAAATACTTCGCACTCGAGCAGATGTTCACATTAAACTCGTTAGCTGAGTGATAGCCTAATAGCTTAAGACAAATTACAATTCGCGCGTTGTAAATTATTCTTTGCAAATTACTTTCGTTCAAGCCAACTATCTCACTGAACAAAACAATTCTTCTGCTCATTCAAAATTACACTTTGTCGATCCCGTCAGATTCGCATAGCTCCAAGTGAGCATGGATTTGGAATACTCTAGAATTTAAAACAATCACAAACAGAGAATCATTAGAACTTCTGAAGGATCGATTCTCATTCTACGTTGTGAACATGTTATCACGATGACTGCATCACAAAGAAACGCTCATTGTGAATGTTACGATTGCAGTTCAGTGCAGTAAAAACACAAAAACGTCAGGCCTTGTAAAACTTTTTATACTTTCTATAAACTCTCGCGTAACTTTTTCTTCATTCAGTGTTCCCACTTGCATTGAATAATTCCCCGAAACTGAAGCACATAAACTCATTTGTCGACAGTGGTAGCGCAATATCAGATAAACCAATCGAGCACGCATATTACCTTTCAGCATTCTCATTTCAATCAAACAACCAACCTTAAACTAGGATGCCCATTCAAACATTCCCATAATTAGTCAGTTGAAGATGCAATATTTGGCAACCTCATTTTCAAATAGCACAACAAAATTGGTCAGTCCTTCTAAGAAAGGCTCGTGGAGACGGCGCTTTGATACTTGGTGATTTTGCTGAAGCTATCAAGCAGTAATTGTAGAACGATAAAGAGGTGAAGCAATTATCAGTAAGCCATAAAGGATCGTTTAGCAAAGTCATAAATAATATGTTCATAGCAAATAGGACACTTTATTGCATTGTTTTTTACGCAATAGATGATTGCACGTTATTGTGATGTGATTAATTCAGTATTGTTCTTGCTTATACCGTAACGCACCATTCAAATTATTGCAACTTATTTTCCGCACTTATATGTCTCAATCCACTCGACACACCTTTTTAAGGCACTTTCCCAACTTTTTGTGAACTTTTGTAAATAAACTCAGATTGCTTCCTGTTGACGCGATTTTCACTGAATGACATGGAATACGACTGGAAATTTACAATGCTAGGTAACCTGGTGCTTGATCGTAATGCAAATCTTGAACATGTATTTATGGTATTATTTGCTTTTAGGAATATATCGTATAGTCATGATGACTTACGCCAGTTCATTTCAATAATGTCACAAGGAATTGTATTGAAAAAATATAGTACTCAATAAAATTTTGTTTCAATATGTAGCTATTCAATCACTTAGTCGAAACTCGACATTCGTTGCTTCAATTCATTCTTCAACAGCCCTTTTGCAGTCCTCAACATATTCTTCTCAATTCGAGGGAAACATTCAATTATGATCTGATATCGAAACAAATTTGTGATCACACCAACAAACTACTTTCATACCGTATTTCTTTTCCCAAGTGGCCCTGGTTAGGCTCTCAAGCTGGTTTTTTTTTTCATAATGCCAGCTGACATTTAAACCATCCGAATAAGCAACACGTTTTGATAAAATTAACCTCAAAATCGTTCTCTCCGTCACCCAATCAAGAGTTAAAAAAACAAGTGTGGACATCAAAAAAGTGCATTTTAGAACTTCTGTATTTTTCATAAATCAACAAGTTTATTTTCCATTTTACATGCTCATTTATGCTCGACCCCAACTGAAATTTATGCGCTTTCTCAATGTTTCTGTCCCTTTCTAAAACACAACGCACATTTTGACTGTTGCAATAGCATTTCAAAGTGAACATAAGAAATGTTTTGTTAAAGAAAATGATCGTTTTGATAGTAGAAAGCTCCAAGGGCGGCCGCCGTTTAACAATGAGTAGTGTTTGTCGATGAGCTGCAAAACAGATCATCATGTTTTCTTTGTCTTAACGCTATCAACATTCAATTACGTTATCAAGCTGCTTCTTCTTTTTGATTCTTTATGTCCGCTTGTTCATCGATTTTTCTGATGAAATGAGCAACCAGTAATTCAGCTCTTCATAAAATAACAATTATTTCTTTTATCGCCTTCTCGTAATAACTCTTGAATGTTACAAAAACTTCCGGTCATAACCAGAATTTTACTTGATTGCATTTCGAGCGTCTAACTACAAAAATAAAACGAATTTTCACTTCCTAATCACATTGGGCAATTCCTCACCTGTATGTAATAAGCACTTAAACGGTTTTACCCAGCCAAACAAAATGACATTCAAAGGAAATAAGCCAGAAAAAGACAACGACGATGAAACTTTTCAAATTGCCTTTTTGGCTAATCGATTACCCATCCACGTTTTATCGGTCCCCTATCTCATAGCTGCACCAAACTTCGGGTGATTAACATACGAACTATTAGCACGCTTATCAAAGCCCGATTGAACAATTTCACGAAATAATCGCGCAGTGAAGGAGGGAGGCATGTGTTTTGGCAATAACAATAGTCTGTAATAAGAATAAAGCAAGCAACTGTTGAGATACATCCTCTGTGTATATGTGTTGTGTAGTCATTTAAAGTTCATTCAAAGAGGATATTAATTCAGTTGGAGGCGACAAATTGGTTGTGAAAAGTGATGATGAAAAGCGGTGCTCAAAGAGAGATCACCTTTTCGGGCCATAAATTAAGCATAACGTGTATTTATAGTCGGTTAATAGGCAATGAACATATCCCTTTGGGCGAACAATGAAAACGGCTCAACGTCGACCACCTCAATTTTATGAGTCAACAAGTACCGTAAAATTTGTGTACGACGTTCACACATCAAAGAAGACGCCAATGTTAACATCGAATGGGTCATGTGTTGTAAGCAGTGCTTAGCCGAAGTTACGACGATGCTCACCTCTGTGCTCACGTTTCATCATCTCAAATGCCATCGATTTTGACCTGCATTACCCTTTCACACCGTATTACCCTACGTCAAGTGATCAAACGCTACAGACTGAGCTAACGCAGTTCGTGCCGAAATTATCATAACTACTCATAAAATTATCATTTCCTGAACAGATCACTCAGCAATGCTAGCACGTGTCAAATTACCACTAGAATACCGTATTCATTTTAGTAGTGCTCATTACCGAAACTGATTGTTTACCGTTGATAGCTGATGCTTCAGGACGTATTTGTCACCAAATAATTTCTCATTTGCGATTGAATAGCAATGCATTCAAATGCTTAAAATTTTAACTAACTGAATCATTCTTCGAGATTATCGTCACTAAGCAACGCGCAAATACCAATCACAAATCAATTATTGACTTAATGTGATTAGATATGTGAATGACGGAGGTTAAATGCTATCATAATGTCGTTTTAAAGGGATAGTGCATGCTAACAACATGCACAAATGAATGCATTGATTTGACTGCGCTTCGCTAATCTTCGTAGATAATCCATTTTGGGAGTTAAGCACCACGTTACAAGGTTGAGATATCACTCTCTACGGACTGCTTAAATGGGTTCGTATCATATCTCTCTGAAACTTTCCAATTTTCAGGGCTCAGTATCACTCATATTAAGCGAAAATGCCGTCATCGACGTTCAACCGTTGCCGTGAAACAACACTAGCCGAAAAAGACTCCATGCAAAGGAGGTGTTCAATGTCTCATTATTTGACATGACATTTCCATAACATCATTCAATCGACTTCGTTTGTTTTATAAGTCGATCCCTAACAATAAAAGACCTTAGAAAGTTGAACAACGATGGAATTGATGCTTGAATAATGTGATTAATGGACGACGCTGTTGTTATTAGATGATATGCCATCTCGATTACGAATAAGACGATATCAATGCTGATCGAGTATTACAATATACATATATCATCAATATACACATTACATGAACATATGAAATGGTTAATTAAAATCGACAATTAATGATAAATGAGAACTGGTTATATTAAGTGAACGAAAATGTTTACGATCCATAAGACAACACAAAATTCCACTCATCGTCATTATCGACCATGACAGTGCATCGATAATTTGGATTTAATTTGAGCAATTCATGTGAAATTCGTTCTTAATGTGTATAACAATAATATTATTTATGAGCAATCACTGCTTTTGTCTTCATTATTCCGATTCGTTTTGCAACATAATATCCCAGTTGCAATTGATTAATCTCGCCAGTCAAGCTCAGTTCGAGTCAAGCTTACGTTAATCAGTATGGAATTCAACATATGATTATGCAGAGAATGGATATATGCACATTTCTTCCACCAATTTTTTCTATCTTAGTTTTTTAATATAGGTACTGAGTTAAATTCCGAATATTTCGCACTGAAAAGCACATTACCGCTAACTTTTCTCATATACAACAACGGACGTGAAACACTCACAAGAGCGAGGCTTCAATCAAAAGTAGCATCAAAGGCTACGTGATAAAAGATGTGCACTGTTCGCATTGCTCGCCTAATGTGTGTGACTTTTACCAATCGTTTGTAAGCAAAAAGGATGTGTCATGGCAATTTGATAGTGAACTTTTTGAATGAAAATTCAATGGAAGCAAAGCTCGTTTTTGATTACAAGTTGTGTGCAGGAGTGCTTTTCGTACACCTCTTTTGGGTGCAGGTCTTTTGCTCGATCGTATGCCCATCAAAGCTGTTACCCAAGCAAGCAGCACGCTTTTTTGCTGCATTCGGAATGTGTCTGATTCGTAAAACAGCATCGAAATTGTTATAAGACACGCAAAAAAAAGAATATACAAAAAGATACAGGTAAAAAGTGGAGGCATTGAACGTGTATCTCAAGCATTACTATCACCAGTAATTTGTTAATCCCTCGACATCATTCTAAGTCTGAAACGGCACCATTTGAACGAACCGCATCAAATATACAATATCATCGTACCATCGTTGCGGCCTTTGTTGGATGATTGGCAGCTGGACAACTTATGCATCCTCTCAAGGCTGAATATTTCAGATACATTCTTGACAGTACTTCAAGATCTTATCATCCCCACATATTTATCAGGGCATTAACGAATGCGCTTTTCACTTGCCAATCAACGAGCACTCGAACAAGCCGCATATAAGTACGGTAATGGCAAATAACGATTTGACACAATCCGAAGCCCAATTATTTCGTAACATTTTCGAACAGAAAATTATATTCCACTCTATACCTGCTGGATATGACAAGTCGGTGCATAATCAAATTCGGCTTTTTTATCATGTCAGCAAACGCATTTTTTTAAAAATTCGTTCCATCAAGATAGTTAAGTGTGTGATCAGTGAACACTGCTGATGAAGTAAATCATCAATCCATTTGCAGAAGAATTATATGCTCATGTAATCGACAAAAATATTACAAATTATTTATGCAATTCATTCACTTATATTACACAAGCACAAGTACTGTACTTATTGTTTTTTTCTTTTTCTCATTCTGTTTACAAGAGAACTGAACATATAAAATAAACATATGAGAAACAATAAAAAATTCATAAAACAGCATTATGCAATCCAAATGATGAGGTTCATATCATAAACGATATTATTTATGCTATGAAAATATTTAGATTTACTGTAACGTGTTGATTCACGACGAAACACGTTTTATGAAGTGCTGAGTGATATGGTCAGCTTATTATGTTTTGAGAAAATGATGAACAAAGATCACGATGTTAGGGAACACGGCGAATTTCATTAATGTTTCAACAAGCAACCTTTGAACCTCAGTCATTCACAAATCGCTTCAAAAACTTTTTAAAAACAATTCAAGACCAGAATTACTAAAACAAACCAAAACATTGAGGGAAATTTCTCAATGTTCGACCCGACAAATAACGTATTATTTAGAGAAGAGAATTCTGAATTGGTTTGATTGAATCAAATATAGAAAAAAAAAACTACTCATTTTAATATTACGATATCGCAAGTTACCACAATGAACAAAATCGGTATTAAAGATGATCGCTTCGGAAAAAGACATTCAGTTTTTCGATGGACTATGCAATGAAGAAATTTGATGCATGAGTTATTTCGCACTGAAACGAAAGTTAATTTTTTAAAGAATAAAATATTGACTATCAAACTTGTAACCAAACAAGAATTTTTTCTAAACGTTCGGAAGCCGAAAAGCATTGTTATTGTGACTGTTTATGCTGATTCTAATTATCCTACTGATTCACTGCTTTTGAATAATCGCTCAATATTGCTGGCAACTGCTGACTGAAAATTTGAAGTGAATTTGTGCGAGTTGAGTGAAGAAGATGACTATCATTTGGTTGGTGATTCATTGTTAATCGACGATGTGACACGAGCGGCCATTGCAGCCAACAGTTTCTGATGGTCAACGTTCGCTGGCATACCAGTGCTTACGAACGCGAATGGTGGTGCTGCTACGGTTGCTTGAATAACCGCAGCACGCGGTGTACCGATCCGAGGTGGAAAGCCTTCAGGTAATCGTGCTGCTGCTGTTGTAACTGCAGATGCTGGATACGGTACCGGTGCATTCCTCAACGCAGCAAGTCGTGGCATCGGCGCCATAAAATGCATAAAAGGTGATGCGGGAATAAACGGTGGTGCTGCAGCGTTGAAGGGTAAAGTTTGGAAATCGTTTGTACTCGGATGTCGCTTGAACCTGAATTAACATATATCCATAAACGATCGGATTCTTCAAGGGAAAACAGTTCGTTGAGCATAAAAACTTAATATTTGAAGTGTCATTTAAGAAATTCAATGACGTTGGTCATTTGCAAATACGACTGTTTTGTTAGAACATCCTTAGTATCAATTTGCATATGCACAACTCCCTCTAATTTAGTGCTCGATGACTCTATTCATTAAGCCTTCAGCATAGAGTGATAGTTGCACAGAACAAATAAATTTGAAGGCGACTGACCTCTTCCGCCTTCTGAGAAAAGATCCGTTGTCGAACATATCCTCTGCCTTCGGATCAAGAGCCCAATAGTTACCTTTACCCGGATTTCCCGGTTCACGTGGTATTTTCACGAAGCAGTCATTTAGGCTCAGATTATGTCTTATTGAGTTCTGCCATGCTGGGAACTTATCGCGATAATACTGCAAAATGTATCTTTCATACAAAAACTTTGAAGCGTTCACCATGAATTTGAATTTATCGTCTCGTAAGAGATTTGATCAAAATGTATTCATTATGCTTTGGAGAACTTGGTAATAATAGAGAAGCAACCGAAATGAAATTATTCAGAAATTTTTTTTTTAAATTCATGAGAAATATTAGCTGAGGAGAATTGAAGTGTTTAAATTGGCTGTTTCTGAGACCTCTAATAGTTCTTCTAGGACAAGTGGCGTTCGAAAGGAAGCAGTATTTCTTATAACACATGGTTTCCCAATCGGGGATCCATGAACCCCCTGGGGGACTGAGACGGCATGCCAGAGGGTTCGAGAGAGAGAGAGTGGGATGAGATGACGTTGGAGAGTGGGTGCGGTGAGAGGTGCTCGAGGGGGTCGGGATGAGGTTTTTCTTTTTTTTCATTTTCGGGGTGAGGTTTTTTTTATTTGCCAAAATCGCGATACTTTTTGGAGCAGTGTGACTGACTGGTTCAGTAGTGAAACATATCATGCATTTTGCGATTAAGCGTTCTGCAAATATAGTTCACGCTTTATCCTAGAAAATCATTGAAAAAATATTGCCTATAAAAATACTGCTCTACCATATAGTTGAAAAAATAGTTTCTTGCAGAATTCTTCGCAACTGTTGCACACTTCAAATAATCATAAAATGACTTGATTTGCATTGCTCTACTTCATCTAGATAAATGCTTGTTGAAATGCGCTCTCTGCACAATTGCAAATGCGAACAGCGCTATATTTCAGGCTGGTTATTTGAGTGTAATGTGATTACAAATGCGTAAATTTGATCAAAAATTAATCAACGCACCACAAAATTAATATTCCCCTTGTCGCTCTAACAGCAACGTAAATGATCGCACTATTTGAATACGCATATAATCACATTATTCATACAAACAATTTTTTGTTTGCTAAATGTACTCGTCATTCACGTTCATAAAGATTCTGGTTTAGAATAGTGATGACGGGTAACACTGAATGAATCAAAAAAGTGGCTGCGTTGCCCAGAAACAAATTCCAATTGTTTGGCATAATCAAATGTGAATTTCTTACTGCACAAATGCTTCATTCTGTGATGTGTGGAACAAAATTTCTTGAGCGTGCTCGAAAAAAATTCTATCTTGACAGTAACAAAAAGAAAAGCTTTCATTTGAAAGACGACGAAATCATTTTCTACAACACTGACTGTAAGGCGGACAATGACGAATTCGATGAAGAACAATTTGGTGAACACGCTAATCAATAAATTAGTCCAATTCAATACACTGAAAATTTCAACCTAATGCTTTGCTTTAGACATTATTGTTTTACTTTTCGAATAAGGTAAAATGTTGCCCAAAAAAGCATTATTCAATTCGTCAAATGTGTCTTGTTTCAAAGTAAACTATTACAGAAGTCACCTTCCGTGCGGTTGTCGTTTGCATAATACACGTCAGCTATCATCAGTGATGATATCGCGTTTTGACTAAACCAGACTGAGCAGAAAATGCCATGAAGCATAAGTGCTCAATTCAATCACACTTTAAAAGCTACAAGTGGACAACGCAAAATATTCACCTGAAAACGATTGATAATGAAATCGCAAATTTGAGATAGCGTTAATTTCTTCTCGGGACTATTTAAGATGGCCATTGCAATCAATGCAATGTATGAGTAGGCTGGCTTTGCTGCACTTGACTTGGATCGATTGTTGCGTTCCGAATTCGACCTATAACATCATAAATGCGGTTCAGCGCATGCAAAATTCACTGCTAATTCGATAAATGTTTTGATTTTGAACGAATGCAATCCTTATTTAATGTGCTTATCAATTTTGAGCATTGATTATATTTTCGATAAACTGTCACTGAACAAATCACATAACTGTACATATAAGAAGGACTGTAGATAATGAATCTTAATAGTCACAAATGGATACTGTTAATTGTAAGTGATCTGATATTATCTGGGATTGTGCCGTACAAAATAAGTAAACAAACCTTGAACCTTCACCGCTCGGACCTTCTTCATCAGAACTAAATTCTTGCTGCTCGCTGTAGGATTCCAAATTTGAATTCGAACGTGGACTCCTCTCTCGTGACTGACTCGTCGGCGAAGCACTACTCTCCTAGATACTATTTAATTATCGAATGGGAATGCTTGCATCACTTCAAAGATACCTCCAAAATTCATGAACACGACAGAAATTAATTTTTGAGAGTGCATCGAAGAACAAATGGCTGATCGCACGCATTTACAAGAGTGCAGAAGTGGAAGTCCCAGTTGAATGGATGACCAATATGGATCATTAAAATCAGCGATGTAAATTGCATGGGAAAGCGAAAAATGAGGCTTCAAAGGTTTTGCTTCATGTATCATATGATAAAACTAACTTTTGAATTATTGTAAATGCCGAGCAGATGATGATGTGATGGTGAATAGGAGGAATGGCTTGTTGTTGTGGCATATGGCCGTTCATCAGCAGCAATATTCGAGCCACTACTACTACATGTCGGTTGTTCAGATGATGCGCTCATATCGATGGCATCTAATTGTGATTGTGTGACAGTCAGGCGTGCTTCCTCTGGACATTTCACCACATCATCGTCGTTTTCGAGTTCATTCTCAACATAACTTGGTGGTGAACAACTAGCGCTTAATGACAGCGTTGTTGAGGTTGATGTGGCTAGTATATTTACAGTTGGTGTTTCATTGTCCTTACATTTATGCCAACAATGCTCAATGATTCGTGTCTTCAGTGGGCAGTTATCATCGTTATCATGATGTCGTTTTCTGGACTTTGTCAACGCACTGTCTGCCTTCGAGCAACGCTCGTCGCCGCACAGAATCGCGTCCATCGAGAAACGCATTGTCCCACTCATGCATGAATCTTCAGCGATTACAATTTTTGTCTGAAAATCACTCTTCGATAAATTTGTTCGTTCAAGCAATTCTTGCGTTTGACTACGACAATTCAACGCTGATAAACACTTGATGATCCCGTTCCTAAAAATTAGCCCTAGGATTTTTATTTGTAAGACGCCGAAAAAGCAGTTGATGCAGTTGTAATGCTTTGAAAATTTTCTATCCAAGCAAAACATTTTCATCACGAGTGTTGAACACTGTTGAAGAGAAAGAAACAAATAAATGACTGATCAAACTTTCATGACTATCAGGTATTTTTCGTTGTTGGTCATTGCATATGAGTTTTATTATAGCGGAAAAAGCAACATTTACACTAAATGTCAAACACTGCACAGGAAGCTTAAAACGAACAAGAATCCAACAGAGACTGAGTTGTTTTTGAGTTAGAAACATTCTCATGATTCGATAGTATAATTTGCAGTCATCCAGTGTTTTTTTTTTAATGAGAGGGAGAGATAGGTAAGGCGCGGTTACCCACTTCTTTTGGAATCTAAGAGCAGGTAGTCCAAGCGTCAAACCGACTTATTTGAATCATATTTAGACTACTATTCAAATATGCGAAAAAGGAATTATCTCGTGATTGTTGTAGCAGTAAAATGCATCACTTTCATTCATCATTTTACGATTCATTATTTTATTATTCGTAGTTTGTAAATTGTAAACATCATTTCTGATGAACACCTTCACAATGAGTGGATTGCTCGAATGATCGGTCAATCAGAAAATTAAACGGATCATAAATGAGCACTGACTCAGGTCTCAAATCTACATTACTAGGATTAAGTTTGCTTGATATAATTTCTCAGACTCAGTGGAGCATCAAATAAAAGTAACTCATCAATTGAATTTTCGAAGTAAAATCGGAGTGTGTTAGTTGGATAATTTTAAGGATGGCACTCTTTTAAACTATGCTCAATAGTTTCGGATCCCAATAATATTGCAGCGCTTAGGTAAGTGATTTTTCCTTCAATAATATTATGGTATGTTAATCGGTTCAAATGTTGTAAATCAATTGAAGTAAAGCTCAAAGAAATAAGAAGTTTTTTGATGGACAAATCCCAGTGAACAATGTTGCTAAGTGAATTTGTAAACCTTACATATCGCAAAATATCAATTTGAATACTGTTATAGATCAACTCACTTTTATGACTAATGAAAGCAATACGATGGGATCAGATGCACGCTTCATTAAACAGTTTCTCGATAAAAGCAGGATGCTATAGTATTGATTTAATGAATGAATGGTGTTTATGTGATTTCAATATAGTGATCCTAGAAAATCCGCTAGTATGCAGTGAGTATATCGAAAGACGCATGTGTTGATAAACGAATTACAGTATGCAAAATGAAATACCCGCATCAGCACAGAGATAGAAACGTATCAATTGAAAATGAGCTATTGCTGCGATTACACATCACAATTAAGCGCACCTGAACCAATTGAGCTTATGTTCATCCAAAGTAAAGAACCACATCCATGTAGAGTCGCTAATGGTCCATCAAGAGGGCAAGTCAAATAAAGTGAATCATTCATAACTTCAATATGTATTGAAGTTATCAGCAAACAAATATTGTCATATCATGTCGATCTGCTCATAAAATTTTAGGATTTATTTCAAGTTGTCATTCGTGATAAGTGCGAAGAAATTTTTGGACCAGAAATGCAGGTGAGATGGAGAAATTAAAGTTAAATGTTGATTGTTGCATGTCCCATCGATCATCTCCATCAGATGGATGTTTGATGCTTGTTTGATGCAGTTATTTAACATTCACCTAATCGGTATTATCAATCCACAATCAAATTCTATGCAGAGAACGTCGTTGAACTGAACCACTCCATAACGTTACCCATTTTTGAAATAATCACTCACACTTTTCAGCTAACAGTGAATGATGAACAGATTTGAAGAGCGACTATTGTGACTGTCCTCACTATTTTGCAATTATAGAACAGGCGAAGTGATTGCCAGTTGTAAAAAACACGAACGAACAGAACCGCTGATAAGAATGATATAATGGAGTGAGTGAGAGGAAGATGAAGAAGCAGCTGAGTTCTGTGCCATTTTGATTTCTCTAAATGATCTTAAAACAACAAACAATGAACGCATCAACAACTTGTCAGAATCACTTGCAACAATCCACTCAATCACAATCTCTTTTTTAATACGAACATAACTAACAGTCTCTTTATCTCGATCATTCTTTTCGTTTATCCGATTCAAAAATAACAAACATAATGCTAATACAAAAAAAGAACAGCTTTTTTCAACAAAGAACAAGCGCATAATTCAACAACGCTTAGCGAGTTTAAAACAGGAATGTAAAATAGGTGGTAAAGTACTCGCCTAGCAATTTCTTAATGGTATTACTAGTATATGCTTTAGTATTAGCAACATTAAGAGCAGAGAGCAGTGACAATAATATCACTAGTAGCAGTAGTATTTGTAATGATACTAACAATTTATTGATAAGTAGATTGTCATAAAAGTTTAGTCAAAATTTGTTGGCAGCAATAAAATGCTTCAATGAAATTCACGAGATAATGAAGTTACGAATAAGAAATTTATTGCTCAATTAGAAAATATTCAATAAGTATAAATAAATATCTCGCTAGTCATTCGTTAATTTCAAATACATACACCTATCGTTACACATGAGCATATTTGAGTAAGGTAATATCAGAAGTGAGAGATCTGTAATGTGAGTAGAACTAAGAAAGTATTCAATGTGATGTGAGAACAGCTATCAGCAAAGAAAGAATCACACGAATAAAAAGTATGTAATGCATTCAAACATAGACATACATACACTTCAGTCGCAAGCAATGATGATTATGTTGTTGAAATCATTCGCTATACACTCGGCACTACTGTATTACGTACGTTGCTCACTAAGAACGAACGCTATTATCCTCGCCATAATAGGTGAATTATGCTTTGTTAATCTTTACATTCGTTGTTATTAGTCTGTCTGTTCGTTGACTTTTGTTACATGTATGAGATAGATCCCCAATAGACGTGCTAAATTTACCGTACACTAGAATTGATCGCTATTCACATTATCCACCTCTGTAACCAATAACAATAAGATTTCACGATGTCTTGCAATAACTGCAATATCTTGCAAAAATCATTACTCACAAACAATGCTTAAGACAACGGAACAAACGAATATGATAAATATCGCTAGCACGATATTTTCACTTGAATATCAAACCAATATCTCAATTGTAATGCGCATCAGAACTTTTTGCTCCGAATTTTTTCTAGAGTAGAAATTTCACGAAACGCCTCTAATAAACCGAACAAACATCTCTTAAACTACAAGATAAAATTCAATTCTCTTTTCTTACAGATAGAATAAAAAATCGTAATATGGCGAACAGTTCATTTTTTTCCACACTTTCATGTTGTATCGTTGCAAAACTGAACAATAAAGAGTTGAAATGATTCATTCCATCGTGGAAACACAATGACGTGACATTTTCAATGAACATTTGGTGAAAGTTCAGTTTCTGTGGGCACGTTACTTGGTCGATATGCTCTTTTTGTCTCATTTCTAATAAAACTGATACAGAGGCAAGTGGAGAATGATAACGGCATTAGTAAGTGCTAATTAATTTTCCTATCGCCAATTCCGGAAATTCATCACAATGAAAACTCAATGTGGACTATCAGAAACTTTAAGGATAAACAGTTAGTATATTGGTCAATGTTACATGGGATACTTTCTTGGTTCTGAGCATTCGTTGTGATTAATTTTAAAAAAAAGTCGTTTCTTCATTATTAAAGTATCCGTTCTTTTTTTTTTTTGATGACGAATTTTATCTAGAACCAATGAGTTCATCAGAAATGAAATATCGAACTGGTGATCGAGTAAGATGAGCACAACAATCGGGTATATATGTGCGGTTTTGATAAAGAAATAACGAGCAATTTTCAGCAACTGTTTTGCGTTTGCCAAATGAGTGAGTGAGTGCCACTGTACTTTCAATCAAAACAAGTCTTTAGATTTCGACACCACAATTGACGGACGAGTGTTTTTCTTAGAGATGTCGGTTACTGTTGACACTCTCATAAGTCAGTTTTCAAAGGAACAATTCGTTTAAAAGCCTGACACTTGAGTTCCTGGATTTTTTTTTTGTTGAATATACATATACCGCTGACATGAAAAAGAATGAAGCAAATCGAACATGCAAATAATCCATGAAAACCGATTTTCTACGTTTATTCTTGAAACCACCTTTATTTGAAAAATGCTTTTCGAGGCAATGTTTCAATGACACACTTTTCCAATCTGCTGACCCTTATTCATTTTTTTTTCAGTTCATCTTGCTTTTAAACAAAAACTGACTCATTTACTGGCACTATGTGAACTGTTTTAAGCAATATCTTTTTTTGCTCATAAATTCCAATCATTTGTATACGTCCTTTCCGTTTCATATTCTCTAGGTCAATGTTTGTCAACAAAAACACCTAAACGATTGACTTCGTGAACAGAACGTTGATCCAGTTTCCGCTGTTGAACCAACTCAAAACGGATACAATAGAAATAATATTATCAATTGCTATTATTGTCATTCTTGAACAGTTCATCTTTTTCATAAAATATTCCTCAGAAAAACGCAATAGGAGTCGCACAAGAAAACCTTATCATGAAGCATGCTGCTTGAATAACTTCTCATATTGAATACGTATGAAACACAATCAGCATAACTGGCATGCATGGATCTGCAAACGTGCTGAAGCTCACATTAAAAATGGCAACAATTTGCTCAATCATAAAATGTAAAGTCAAGCATCGTTGAAAAAAGCATTCCGCAAATGCTTCAAAACGCAGCCAAATAATCGAAGAATTACGAGATACAAGACCATGCATACTGTCATGTGGTGTAAGGTCGACGACAATGGTGTAAGGTCGACGACAAATCAACCCATGTTTCAAGCAAACAAATTCG